GCGTAGCAACTATCTTTCTATTTCCTTCTTCCTTTCTCTTCCACGTCACCAAATATACTTGCATGATAATAAAGAGAGACCACTAATAAAGACCATTATACATGCCCTAAGGTAACACTTTTTCTATTATAAATTTAGTATCTCTTGGTACCTAAGTACTATGAAGAACTAAATTTTACACTAATTTTTTATTATCTTATGGTATCTCTTCAAGGACCGTAGAATTGCTCTTATTTGAGAGTTTAAGATTAAAGCAGCTGTTGATATTCCAAACAAACTGGTAAACCCAGGTTCTGGCTTTTTATTCGTTTTATGGATTCTACGATTACATAATCTCAAAATCAGGGTAGAAACTACAGCCGCTATAATATAGGAGAAACTACAGCCGCTATAATCTCTTAAAAAGGGTTTTGAGAAACAGCTGATTAGTAGTTAACTTCTAATAACCTGAAGATATTGAGTTTTTAGTCTCTGGTTTCTAATTCGTTTTCTAGATTTTACAATTATAGCTTTTTAAAATCTGGATGAAATAATTGTGAGAGAAACTGCAGCCGTGGGAAACTCCACAAACAAACCCGATGTCGAGCGGTGCCGTGAGGCGAACCTCCCAATCGCGCATGCGAGATCTCACCATCTCGTCGCCGTATCAGCCCGACGAACCGGTCCGTGCGGCGCGGTGTCTCTCGCGTGCTTCCGTGGACGTCGTGGTCTCGCAAGACTATCGATTTATTTCTACGTACACGGTGCTACCAATCCATCGATGCTGACTGCTCATCAGCGTACATCGAAAATTCGAACATATATACTCCCACTACTGACGACACAGCATGTTCTTCGCCGCTGTGAGCGCATTTTCATATAGGTCGGTCTGAAATTGGGATTAAGCTAATCAAGCGAGCAATCGAGACGGATATCAGCACATAGTACAGCTTTCAGACAGATTAATTATCAAATATTAGTATAACTGGTTTTTTATTAGTCCATGATGACAATTAATCAGACTAGTTCGTGTATATATATATGGCCATGCATGATCGATCAGTTGCTTGATTTTCTAGGCCGGTTTAATTTGGTCGAGATGGAACATGGCATGCATGCATTCGCGCCTGACGGAGCTAGACACGCTCCGTGCATGCACGTACTGCACGAAAGCTGCCTTTGCTAAATCCCCTTCTGATTAACTAAGATTCCATCTCCCATTTTTTTTCTTGAAGAAAATATTCCCAAACCTACCAATCAAACTAAGGCACTTAATAAGTTCATCCACATTCGTCGACATTTTTATATATCCTTTTGGTTCCATCACCAATATATTATATATGCGATTCTTGATTTCGACCAACAAGGTAGAAATCTTATTGGTCCTTCATTGCTCAATCCCTGTTTAAGAGCTACTCCCCCCTATCAAAATATAAGTATTTTTAGAATAGTGCCAAGTCAAATTTTTTAAATTTTGCCTATTAATAGTAAAAAAGTTAAAAATATTAATCATGTAAATTTGATCTTACTATATTTATCATTAAACGAAATATCATAATATGCAACTATTTTTATTTAAAACATTCTACTTTTAAAAATATTTTTAGTAAAAGTAGTATCTCGAAGACCATGTCAAGATAAAAAAATACTTACATTTTGGGACGGAGAATGTACCTTATTATTATTTTCTATTTTCTGGGTCAAGTCATGACCTGATCCTGCAACCTGCATGCATACATAAGCGTAGACCATGTCAAGAGAACTCGATAAACGTAGACCATGTACATGTAACTTGATGAGTTGTTTAATCATCGTGTGATTAATTATCTTTATATACACTGTCACAATCGTCGACGATAATGTCAATACTCCACCTGCAGCCGCCTGCATCACCGTTCGCTAAGCTGCGTGCACTGCACAACGTGATTTCACACGGCCATTTTCACTTTTTGGTCCAAGCTTAGTTAGGCCCCGTATAGTTCACAATTTTTTTTCCTAAAAACATCACATCGAATCTTTGGACACATACATAAAGTATTAAATATAAATAAAAACAAAAACTAATTACGCAATTAGGGAGAAAATCGCGAAACGAATCTTTTAAGCCTAATTAGTCCATGATTAGCCATAAATGCTACAATAACCCACATATGCTAATGACGGATTAATTAGGCTCAAAAAATTCGTCTCACAGTTTTCAGGTGAGTTATGAAATTAGTTTTCTCATTCTTGTCCAAAAACCACTTCCGACATTCGGTCAAACGTCCGATGTGACACCCAAAAATTTTCTTTTCCCAAACTAAACAGACCCTTAGCTTACGGCTTGAAATTAATTAACTAGCTCTCGTGATATAGGTTTTCAAATATTTTGTTTAGTACTTTCACTAGTCCACGATCAATTGGCCACACCTAAAAAGGTTAAACTGCGTGGTAACTTCTCCGGCACTGCTAATTATAGCCACCATGTGCTCGGTTTAACATTCGCTAACTTACTCTATTAATTCTAACGGACATCGAGAGTGGGTATGTGTCAACTGTGAAAAGTACACACCTCGAAAATTAGTTAGAAAATAAGCTGTCAAGTACTGTAAGCTCTCACGTCATGCCTATGCCGAAATGGAAAAAAAAATAAATCGTAAATCCCATAAGCACAAAATACTTTAGAGTTACATGCTAATCACACATCTGCTTGAGATTTTTGTTTAGACAAGCAAATTTGAATTTACAAGTTGGTGTTATCGACTGGAATATATTCCAACGGGACGTCAAACATCTCCATCTCCATTTCCCTATCTAATCCCATAGCCTAACCGGTTTCGGTTTAGTTTAAGTTTAATTTGAAAATTTAGCAGCGCCTTTGTCCCTACGCCTGCTACGTCATCGGGGCGGGGATCCGCATCCGCATCCGCTGCGCGGCGCAGAGCAGCGAACGCTCGCGCACCGACCGTCGGATAGCCGCCCGCGTGTGCATCGAGATTCGGGCTGAGGCGCTGGTTCGCGGTGGATCAGGATTTGGTGGGGCCCGGCCGGCCGAGGCGCGGGGGCGTGGGGCCCACCTGTCCGTGTCCGGAGGCGCGAGGCCCGCACGTCTGCCCGGGAGCTGCCACGTAGGAGAGAGAAAGTCTGACGTGGCTCGGGCCTCATTTGCGGGGAAGCCCTCGTCAGTCGTCAAAATTGCTCGTTGTTTGTAAGCAGACACGAAGGTTAGTACTAGGAGCCAAAGATTAATAAAGAATACATTTATTAGCATTCGAAGATGACAGCAAGATTTTTAATAATTTGGTTAATTCAAAGAATCTGCTGGAGTTGTCCAAATCCGGATAATAAATTTGACCCTATGTATTGTACATCTCCTTAGTTAATCTTCATCTAATTCAGGCTCGAATGGGACCATTGTTGCTTTAAAACTTGTTCGGTATCTCTTAGGCAGTGGTTTTTGTTTTACCTAAACTACACAATTTTATCCTTTGCTTCCTCTTACGATAAATATGATTCTTTGCTAGTATATATTCAGTATGATAGCATTTCGATAACTTTCTTTATGAATGAAATTCCAACGTATATACATTTTATAAAAGCCTTTCGATCCCTCTTATAGGGACAAAGATCTAACCATTTGATTACAAATCTAACGCCTAATGATGCTCTCCCGTCGTATTTACTCTAAAAACGTCATACCCCATCTATGTTTATTCGGTTATAGCATCGTCTTATCATTTCTTCAACCTCAACATATCCCCATCTCCTCCTACCTTGTAATGCTACTCAGATCTACGTGTTTAGATCTGCTCATTGATTTTATCCACATCTCCTTCTCTTCTCTTGGTATTTGTATCAGCCGCCACCACTAGTATAATCTTGCTTCACTCATATTCTCATGTGCCAAAAACAACTTTAGGGTTTCGCCTCGAAGCAAATAGAGTCATCAAAAGCTTACTTCATCAATATCCATCGGTGACGAATATAGATGAGTAGGAGTTGATTATGTCATCGGATTCTCTAACACTCTTGTTTTATCCCTACATCCATCGAGGGCGCTTCTCTTGATTGGCCAAATGGTATGTGTTTGGTGTTTTTGCCAAATAAAATATTATACATTTTCTCTATTAAGTTATATTCCTCACTCTAAATTTATTATTATTCCTTTAACTGAATATTCACCGAACATATATATAAAGTATCATACTATTTATATTCTCTCTCTGTAACATGTTAATTTCCTGATAAGTCTTACATTAAAAAGTACTCCCTCTGTCTTATAAAAAACCAACCTAGTAATAAATATAACACATCCTATTACAGAATCTGGATATACATCTGTCCAAATTCATTATACTAGAATATGTCATATCCAATCCTAGATTTTTTTTTGGACGGATGGAATAGGCACCATGCTCTCTAGAATTTTATTTTTTAAAATCTATTTCAAATACACACATCAAGCTTGCCACTTTCACAAAGGAAAACAAAAGATAGGTGAGTCGGAACAGGCAAAACATTTTTCTCCCAATTACGGTAGTGCGAAGACGTCAAGCAAAAGTCACAAAAGATTTTAAAGTAAAACGCACACAAAGTCAGACGAGGTTAGTAAAGCCTAGTTAACGATGTTACCCACAAGGCCATTTTCTTTTCACAATAAAAGAAAAAAACACAAAAATGGACAAGGAAGCTAAGCAACCAAATCACCCACCAAATCGCACAGTACACACACAAATTACAAACCAAACAGAGAGAGAAAGACAGAGGGGAAGGAAGAGCGCGTCGTCGAGGAAGACGAGATAGCGAGGAGGCGCGTGGGAGAAAAGGAGGAAACAAAAGGGAGAGAAAAAGGAAAAAAAATAATTATTACAAGCGAGGGAGAGAAAAAACACAAGCAAAAATAGGGGCAGGAGGAGGAGGAGGGAGGCGACCAGAGGAGGAGGGAGGCGAGAGGCGCGCGCACGCGGGGAGGGGAAGGAGGAGGAGGCGATTTTTTGTTGTTGTTGGTGATAGGAGCTAGGTGGGTGGGAGGAGAGGAGGAGGGGGGGGGGGGGATCGCGTCGGAATTCCGGCGAATCGGCGGGATCCGGCCGGGATCTGCGCGGCGGATGAGGGGTCGGCACCATGAAATGGTCGACATTGCTCAGTAAGGTCGTCTTCGCCGGCCAGCAGGAGCAGGAGCAGCCGCCTCCGCCGCCGCCGCCGCCGCCGGGGTCGTCGTCGTCCCCGCTCAACCGCCAGAAGCAGGGCGACCCCGGCCAAGCCACCCCGCGGCTCAGCGCCGCCGACGAGGGTGGGTCGGTCGGAGGTGGCGGCGTCGCGGCGGCGTCCGGGAGCTCGCCCTCCGCCGTCTCCGCGTCCCCTGCCAGGTAGGCCACGCCACGCCACGCCACGCCACGCCACGCCGTGGAGTCAAATACTGTCCCTCGCCTGAATCCGTCGTGGTGTAGGCAGCTCCGATGCGATCCTGTCGCGTGCGTTTTTTCGGATTGAGCAATGGCAATCGGATTTGGATTTCGAGAGCGTTCGATCGTAGATGCTTTACCTTTTTTTTTTCCTCGTTCTCTGCGTGCTTTTTTTCCCCGTGTTTGGAGATTTGATAGGTAGATGCGGGATTAGGCGTTTGATATACGCTTTGACCTTTGCTGGTTGATACACCTGATATTGTTTTTAGCTCAAGCTTCCCAGTAAGTTCCAAATTTTTTTGGTTTTACTCATACGGTTCCGGGGAGAAATGATGTTGGAATAAGACGGTGGTTGGAGATGCGTTAGCTGTGTGGTCAGCTCATGGATTTCAATTCGTCTGTACGCTGCCTATTGCCTGTTTCTTTTGGTTTTGTTATGCGTTTGCATTAGAAGCGAAATTTGTATGAGCTCTTCTAGAGATGGTGGGAGTTTTACTTGTCACGGTTGATGCCAAATTGGTGGAGAACTTGATGAATCTGTTGATTCAGCATTCATGTTTGCATTGGCTGTGCTTTAGTAATAAGATTGGTGCATGCCATTTTAAGACACTGTTTAACTTTGATAGTGTTCCTGTATTGTTGCCTCTGAGAAGTTGCTTGCTAAATTTGTATATCCACTTAGTGAAATTTGATTGTATTACTAGGATTATATTCATGTCCCTATTGGAAACAAGTAAGTAGTAGTAATTTTATGTGTTGGAAATTTTGACATATTTAAATTCAATGGCATTATTGTTTATGTTATACATCTGAGCACAATGTCTATAATAAATGCTAATTGAGCACGCATGTTATTGTTCTTTATATTGATACCATGACGTGCCTAGAGTGATTACCAGTGTTAGCATTCTCTGTGTCCTCTTCTGTTCCATGGTAATAATATTGACTGTACAACCGTTGTAATTAAGGTTCCTATTGTAATCGATGCCATATATGAAGAATACGTTCTATATTTTACTGTAGAATGGAGATTTATGAGCTGTTTTCATTTGTATATGCTTGATACCTGGTTCTTTATTCAGATGTTCTCTTGTCATTTCTTCAGCATTCAATAAATATCATTAACCTACCAAGAAAGAATAGTGACTTTTGCAATTGCATTACTAATGAGATATCGTGAGTCTCATCCTTTATTCCTTTGTGGCTTTGTCTGGACTCTGGACTACCACTAGATATTATGTTGTTAAAGTTGGTAACTTCGTTGTGTGCGTTGTTTCAAGGTGTTCTGTAACTTAAACTTGTATTGTATGGTAACTGGCACTGGGAAAGGGATAATATTAGAGCCTGTATAATGTTATAGTTCTCTCTCGTACTTGTTAGTTGGCTAGTTGCCCTTCCAATCCTTGCATGGCAGTTCATGTATTTGTAGGTGTCATGTCAGGCATTCACATTATATATGCATCACATGGTTCTGATGCATGGATTGTACTAAGAATGACAAAACGAGGCATTTGATCCCTTTGCTTCAATTATTCTCCAGAATTTTATCTGCTGTTTCAAGTGAATTTCCTGCAAAAATTTCTCAGTTTGTACTCCCATTGTTAAATAAATGTTCTTAACCTTGTATTTGCAGGGGAAAAAATGAGTTGGAGTTGGACTTCAGGAGGTTCTGGGAAGAATTCCGTTCTTCCAGCTCTGAAAAGGTACCATCGCACTTGGTTCACCTTGTCACCATGGAACATAGCACTTGCATGTCCGTTCTTATCCTAACACTGTGCCTTTTATTTTCCCTGCACAGGAGAAAGAAAGGGCCTTAAATTTGGCAGTAGATGTCTTCTGTAGGCTAGTGAAGGAGCACTCTAGTGTAGCTGAATTAGTTACAAAGTATGCCTTGTTAACTTTCATACATTCGCTACATTGTTTTAGTTTATTCTAAAATCATATCTGTTTATCATGACATAAATCTTTATCCAGGTCGAGTTTTGTTAACATTCTTGTGATTACTACAGGTTAGTAGAAGCACATGTTTTTGCTTTTGTTATTGGAAGAGCTTTCGTTACAGATGTGGAAAAACTAAGAATTCACAGTAAGGGAAGATCTTTGCGTGTTGCTGATGTTATTGGTTTCTTTTCGGAGATCACAGAGGTCAGCCTTTATAATAATGCCTATAATGCAGTTTCCAAATTTCATGTGACCATACATTCTCTGCTAACTTCTATTCCATTATCCAGCTTGGCATATGTCCAGGTTCAAATTTGTTATATGCAGTTGAAGTTCTTGTGACACAGGTTCGTGCAGTTTCTCTTGTTAATATCAAATCATTCTGTTTTCTGTTATATTTAATCTCCCTTATTATCTTATCAGGTGTTAAATATATATAATCGTAAAGTCAACAAAACTGTGGTATTCAAGTTTTTTGTGATTGTGTTTGTGTAAATTTTTACTAATTATAATATGATGAGGAGGGCACATCATTGTGATAAAAGCTATACATAGGCCATATATATACTCCAGGTGTTATTTGAAATTCCTTTTGCCTTCAAAGCTATTATGAACATTGGACTAGTGTGTTATATTTACCTCTGTAATACTGTTTTCATCTTTATATTTATATCCACCTTGTCCTCTCTGTAAGTATACAGTATGAGCCATCTGGAGGACAAAAATGATTCTAAACATCTGAACAAGAGCAGTATTTCTACTACAAACCTTGTCAAAACAATGTTAGTTCTTAGTGTACTATATATAATCTTGCATATTTGTGAATAGATGATGATTGTCAATGAATGTTGCAAAGAGAATCTGTATATCGAAGCAATTAGCCATTAAGTGTTTGGTGTTAATTTTGGGCTGGTTTTGCAACCGCTAAGTCAAGTTATGGTATGAAAACCAATTTTAGTTCCCTGTTCTTTCCTTTGCAACCTTTTTGCATTGACAATGACACATGTAATAAGACAAAAAAAGAGAGGCATCTGCTTTCTGATAAAAAAACAAAGCTTAGATATAGTAAGGAATGTGCAACTGACATATGGTGTTTCAAATCGGCTAAAACAACATTTGCCAAATGCTCAGAGTAACATGCTTTTCATGTTTAATTTCTTGGTTACAGACTATCGATAAGCAGCCTCTGTTGGATTCTGGTATTTTGTGCTGCCTTATATATATCCTCAATTCCCTATTGAGTCCTGATGAATCCTCCCAAAAATCCTCTCCTGTTGGTCAAGAAGTTTCAACCAGTGAGAAGAGTAAAGATTGGGGTCCTATGCTATCACGGCGCCTTGAGGTAATACCAGTCTCGTGGTTCTTATATAAAGAGGATTTCCTTTGCATTATTTTTTAAAGAACTCGACGCAAGGGGAGAGAATCCCGAAGGCATTGCATTTAAGGTCGAGAAAAGGCCCTGAAAGCTGGCACTTACCTGTATGGGAACATTGTTGTCACAGGCTGTCTTAACACTTACTTTTGGGGAATACACAGAGAGGTACCTTTTTTTTGGGTGAGAACCAGGTTTTGAGCCCTGGTTGGTAGCCTCACAACTGGAGGACTTACCACCGTCCACTGTGCATAAGCACGTTCTCACCTTTGCAATATCATATACTACCTCCTTTTTTAATAAATAGCGCCGTTGATTTTTGGCATATCGTTTGACCATTCGTCTCATTTAAAAATTGAGTATAAATATGCAGAAATACAAGTCATGCTTAAGTTTTCTTTAATGATAAAACAGGTCATAACAAAATAAATGACATTGAATAAGATGAAAGGTTGAATGTCATGCCAAAAGTCAATGGCATCATCTACTGAAAAACAGAGGGAGGAGTTGTTAACTTATTCTGATGCAAAATCACAACTTGTTAATACTTTATCCGCTGAACTTCACATAGTGCCATGCTGGAGTATCCATCTGAACTAATACAAGGCATTCGTTTTATGCCAAACCTGCATTATGTGATATGTTAAACCTTCTTAATTTCTTTGCCTGGTTAATTTGAGTTTTGATTTTTTTCCCCTTGTTTTTTGCTCTATGGAGATCGAGGCAAGTGTAGTACATACAATGAAGGCACTAGCGAGCCATCCATCTGCTGCACCAAGCCTAATTGAAGATGATGCTCTACAAGTTCTATTCCACATGGTTGCAAATGGTTCCCTGACCGTGTTCTCTCAATTTAGGGAGGGTCTTGTTCCAATTCACACAATTCAGCTTCATCGCCACGCAATGCAGGTAAGTTGATATGATGCAACATTTTTTGTGGATACCTGACTTCCTGCCACACCGTAAGTTCCTAATATATTTATTCCTTAACTGAGCAGGTTCTTGGTCTCCTTCTTGCGAATGACAATGGGACTTCAGCAAACTATATAAGGAAGCATCAGTTGGTACATTCTTTATCTCTTCTTCATTGTGGGTTGAAATATTTTGATCTTGTTCTTCTGTTTTTAGCAATTGTATCTTAGTAGTTATTAGGGCTCCTTGACACCATACTCAATGTAAAAATGTGTCTGTACTGAGCTTTCTTGGCAAATAATAGAACTCCTGTAGAGCAATTAATACCTTTTTATTGAATTATCTAGAGTATTTCATTTTGGTATAGTTATCTCTCTCTCTCTCTCTCTCTCTCTCTCTCTCTCTCTCTCTCTTTTGTGTGTTTGGAACATCTACTCTTTTGCACTATTGCTAATAAGTCCTATGCCTTTTAGATTAAAGTTCTCCTTATGGCCGTGAAAGATTTCAATCCGCAGAATGGTGATGCTGCTTACACCATGGGCATTGTGGATCTCTTACTTGAATGTGTTGAGCTATCTTACAGGCCTGGTAAACATGGACAGACTTTTGCCATTCAGATACATTTCATCTTGATATTTTTTCAATGTGTACATAATTCATGGTCAGCTACTCAGCTATAGCGTTTGCTAATATTTCAATATATGGTTAATATTGCAGAAGCTGGATCCGTTAGGCTCAGGGAAGATATACATAATGCTCATGGCTATCAGTTCCTTGTTCAGTTTGCTCTTACACTATGTAGCTTACATAAGAACCAGGTTCTCCAATCTTCGCCCAAGTTAGCATCTGAGGATGGAGTGAATCCTCCTCACAGATCAGAACAAGATACATTCACATCCGATCTTTCACCACAGCTATCAAGATTGCTTGATGTTCTTGTAAATTTGTCGCAAACTGGACTGTCTGAAAATTATGTTGGTAAAAGTATGAAATCTTCTCATGGGAAGGGAACAGGCCACAACAGAAGCCGGACTCCATCTGTTGACAAGTTCGCAGATGAGATTTTGGAGATTAACAGTCCCAAAGTAAAAGATCTTGAGGCCATTCAGATGCTACAGGATATATTTCTGAAGGCAGACAACTTGGAAGTGCAAGCTGAAGTTTTAAATAGAATGTTCAAGATTTTCTCAAGTCATCTTGAGAATTACAAGCTATGTCAACAACTGCGAACTGTGCCTCTTTTTATCCTAAACATGGGTGGCTTCCCTCCAGCACTTCAAGAGGTCATCTTAAAAATTTTAGAATATGCGGTCACTGTTGTAAACTGCATCCCAGAGCAGGAGTTGTTATCACTCTGTTGCTTACTGCAGCAACCAATTTCTACCAGTCTTAAGCATACAATACTCTCTTTCTTTGTGAAGCTCCTTTCCTTTGATCAGCAGTACAAAAAGGTTCTCAGGGAAGTAGGTGTACTTGGAGCGTTGTTAGATGACCTGAAACAGAACAAGCTTTTTTTTGGAGAGGAGCCACAAAACAGGACCCCTAAGTCTGCACAGAGGATGTCCAGTGCAAGTAGTTTTCGAAAAACCATGGATAACAAAGATGCGATTCTTTCTCCGAAGCTAATGGCTTCTGGTTCCACCAAATTTCCCATGTTTGAAGATGAAGGGACAATAACTGTTGCTTGGGATTGTCTTTTTTATCTGCTGAAGAGAGCTGAGCCTAATCAACAAACTTTCAGATCTTCTAATGGCGTTAATACGATTCTTCCTTTCTTGGTATCTGAAAGCCACAGATCTGGGGTATTACGGCTATTGTCTTGCCTGATAATCGAAGATTCTCTTCAGGTTTGTGTTAGAACCTGACTCCCATGAAATACATAGTCATTTTTAATCACGAATCATCTTAGTTTAGGGCATAAAATGCCAAGTTCATGGGAGTGAATGACTTGTAAAAACCTTAAGGGTCTATTTCCCCTATGATTTGTTAATTTTAATGATGCTTAAAAATTGAATTTCACGAGCACCATGTGAGCTATGACTCCTTTGACATTGTTTTCAGGCTCATCCAGAGGAAATAGGGTCCCTGATAGAAATCTTGAAGAGTGGGATGGTATCAACTTCGTCAGGTTCTCAACAGAAACTTGACAATGATGCGAAGTGTGACACTTTTGGCGCTTTGTGGCGTATTCTTGGGGCAAACAGTTCAGCTCAAAGAATTTTTGGAGAAGCCACTGGGTTTTCCCTGCTACTAACAACGCTTCACAGTTTCCAGAATGACAGTGAAAACGAGGAGACTGAATCATCTTTGCTTACTCATATGAAGATCTTTGGTTTTCTAATGCGAGCTATGACAGCTGCAGTATACAGCAATCCTGTTAATAGGATAAGACTGCATACAATCCTGTCTTCCAACACTTTCTATGATCTTCTGTCTGAATCTGGGTTGCTCTGTGTGGATTGTGAGAAGCATGTTATCTTGCTTTTGCTTGAGCTTGCACTTGAGGTTGTTCTTCCTCCCACTAGTAACCTGCAGGTAGAGAGCATTTCATCTGAAAACCCAGAGGATGAATCAGGTTTCTTGTCTGCAACCTCATTTGGACTATCAAGGCTTGACAAGGAGCGTATATATAATGCTAGTGCTGTAGTTGTTTTGATCCGCTCTTTGCTAGTATTTACACCTAAAGTTCAACTCGAGCTGCTGAGATTCATTGAGAAGCTAGCAAATGCTGGTCCCTTCAACCAGGAGAATTTAACTTCTGTAGGTATGGACAGCAATTGTTTTGTCACCTCTGTTTCCTTTACTTTAGCTGGCGAGTTTGCCTTATGTTATTCTTGCCCTTTTTGTTATACAGGATGTGTTGGTCTTCTACTTGAGACAATCAACCCATTTTTGGAGGGCTCATCTCCTATCCTTAATCACGCTTTGAGAATTGTTGAAGTTCTGGGTGCTTATAGGTTAGTTATATTTGATGGTTAATTTTATATAGAAGCTTGCCTTGTTAGTTGTGGTACATGTTATGTTTTTTCTTTGTCAGGCTGTCTTCTTCTGAACTAAGACTTCTGGTGAGGTATATACTTCAGCTGAAAGTGAAGTGTTCTGGTCATCTTTTTGTTAATATGATGGACAAGTTAATCCAAATTGAAGATGTCAGACAAGGAAGTATTTCTCTAGCCCCTTTCATTGAGTTGGACATGAGCAAAGCTGGTCATTCATCTATTCAAGTTTCATTAGGAGAGAGGACATGGCCACCTGTTTCTGGATACTCTTTCGTTTGCTGGTTCCAATTTCAGAACTTCTTTAGAAGCCATCCTAAAGAAGCAGAAAAAACATCAAAAGGGTCTTATAGTAAAAGGAATGGACAAGTTATGCGCATCTTTTCTGTAGGTGCAGTTGATGATGCCAACACTCTGTATGCAGAACTTTATCTCCATGACAATGGTGTTTTTACCATTGCAACAAGCAATTCAAGTTCATTATCATTTCCAGGCATTGAGATGGAAGAAGGGAAATGGCATCATCTTGCAGTTGTACATAGCAAACCAAATGCATTAGCTGGCCTCTTTCAATCAAGTGTGGCCAGTCTATATCTTGATGGAAAGTTGAGGCACACCGGCAAACTTGGATACTCTCCATCCCCATTTGGTAAATCCTTGCAAGTAACACTTGGTACACCTGCTATCCGAGCCAAAGTTTCAGACCTATCATGGCGGCTTCGGTGTTGTTATCTTTTTGAGGAAGTCTTAACACCTGGCAGCATTTGCTTCATGTATATTCTTGGACAAGGTTACAGGGGATTGTTCCAGGACACTGATCTTCTGAGATTTGTCCCTAACTGGGCCTGTGGTGGGGAGGTGATGGCAATTCTTGATTCATTGGAATTGGAAGTAATTGCACCTTCAGGCAGCCAGCGTGTTGATAGCGCAATGAAACAAGGGAACTCTAGACTTGAGAGCAGTGGAATCGTTTGGGATATGGAAAGGTTAAGAAATCTTTCCTTACAACTGTCCGGGAAGAAGCTAATATTTGCATTTGATGGGACTTCATCAGATGCTTTTCGAGCATCTGGGACTTTGTCCTTGCTGAACCTTGTTGATCCAACTTCTGCTGCTGCATCCCCAATAGGAGGTGATTGAACTTCTAGCTATTTTTATTTAAACTTTTTTCTCTTGGAAGATGTCAATATTCACTATGTTCTTTGAAATGACAGGTATACCGCGGTATGGGCGCCTAAGTGGGGATGTTTATGTGTGTAACCAGTGCACAATTGGTGACACTGTTCAAACAGTTGGTGGGATTCCTGTTGTTCTTGCTCTTGTGGAAGCCGCTGAAACTAGGGATATGCTGCACATGGCACTAGAACTGCTTGCACTATCTCTTCAACAGAGCCATCAAAATGTGAAGGACATGCAGTCCTTGAGGGGTTATCATCTTCTTGCACTTTTTCTGCATAGGAGAATGTCATTATTTGACATGCAGTCTCTTGATATCTTTTTCCGTATTGCTGCTTGTGGAGCTTCATTTCCTGAGCCACAAAAGTCAAATATGAACCGAACAGCAAGCTATGCATCTGGAATCTCCCCAGAGTCCAGTCTTGATGATCTTACATTACCCAAGTTTGGTGATGATATGTCTTCTATTGGATCACATGGAGATCTAGATGATTTTTCAGCACAAAAGGATTCTTTTAGCCATCTGTCTGAGCTTGAGAATGCCGACTTAGCTGGGGAGACTTCTGAGTTTATAGTCTTGTCAAATGCTGATATGGTCGAACATGTTCTATTGGATTGGACCATTTGGGTTACTGCTCCTATATCAGTACAAATAACTCTCCTTGGATTTCTTGAGAGGATGGTATCAATGCATTGGTTTAGAAATCATAACCTCACAATACTGCGGCGAATTAATCTTGTACAACATCTTCTTGTCACTTTACAACGTGGTGATGTTGAAATTCCTGTCCTGGAAAAGCTAGTTGTTCTGCTTGGTGTCATCTTGGAGGATGGTTTTCTAGCTTCTGAGTTGGAGCTTGTTGTAAGATTCGTAATCATGACATTTGATCCTCCAGAACTTACACCAAACCGCCAGATTGTTCGGGAGGCCATGGGAAAGCATGTCATTGTGAGGAACATGTTACTAGAAATGCTTATTGATCTACAAGTAACCATAAATGCTGAAGATATGCTGGAGCAATGGCACAAAGTTGTTTCGTCCAGATTAGTCACATATTTCCTTGATGAAGCTGTGCACCCAACAAGTATGAGATGGATCATGACTCTCTTAGGAGTTTGCCTTACATCCTCTGCCACTTTTGCTCTAAAGTTCCGTACAAGTGGAGGTTTCCAAGGGTTGAATCATGTGCTTCCAAGCTTCTATGATTCCCCTGAAATATATTATATACTCTTCTGTCTGATTTTTGGAAAGCCTGTTTTTCCTCGAGTACCAGAGGTCCGCATGCTTGATTTCCATTCTCTTATGCCTAGTGATGAAAACTGCGGAGAATTGAAGTTTGTAGATCTATTGGATACTATCATTGCAATGGCAAAAGCTACATTTGATTCATTGATTATGAAGTCTATGCTTGCACATCAGAATAATAATCTTTCACACCTTAATGGCACCTTAGTTGCGGATCTTGTGGAATCGACACCAGACATGGGAGGTGATCTTCAGGGAGAAGCCTTGATGCATAAGACATATGCAGCTAGGTTAATGGGTGGTGAAGCTGCAGCACCTGCTGTTGCTACTTCAATACTGCGGTTCATGGTTGATTTGACAAAAATGTGCCCACCATTCTCTGCTGTTTGCAGGCGGCATGATTTCCTAGAGAGCTGTGTTGACCTATATTTCTCTTGTGTAAGGTTCGTATGGTGTGCATATGTTAAGTTATGTGATGCTCTAGATGTTTAGGCTAAAACCTTTTTATTCTGCAGGTCTGATTGTGCCGTGAAGATGGCGAAGGACCTAACATCTGCGGCAACAGATGAGAAGTGTATGCATGATGATGACAACGAAAGTCTAAAAGATACTTTTTCGAATTTGCCACAGGATCAGGAACAATCTGCCAAAACTTTTAGTATTGCAAGTTTTCCCCAGGAGCAGAAAAGTTCGAGCTCAGGAAGTAGTGGCATGCATAACTCTTTCGAAACTGCTGAAGTAAAAGCAGACGACTCTTCCAATCAGGCATCGAGCACCACGTTTTTGAATGGACAAGCAAACCAAGTGGTTCAGAGTGCTCATGATCAAGGACAGATGTCAGCCCCAAGTTCAAATGGCATTGCTGATTCCCACCAACCAGCTGATTCACCCACTTCAGCTTCTATGAACAATATTGGGTCTCCTGTTTTATCTGAGAGATCAGCTCACAAAGCAGCAAGTACCCCTACTGCATCTCCGATGGCTCCATTTGCATCTTGGCCTGGCAGTGCAGGATCATACAGCGATGGTAGGCAGCTAACAGCCTCTCCATCCATGTCTTCAACTATATCTGGGATTGACCTCGATTCATCCCCTGATCTGAAGACAAACATTCAGGGGTCACCTGCAGTGAACACACTTTTCCCAATTAATTCGAAGCTTTTGCTTGACATAGATGATTTAGGTTATGGGGGTGGTCCTTGCTCTGCAGGAGCTACTGCTGTTCTTGATTTCATTGCTCAAATCCTTGCTGATATTATCTCAGAACAGCTCAAAGCAACACTCTTTATTGAGAGCATCCTGGAGTGTGTGCCTCTGTTTGTAGATATCGATTCTGCTTTGGTTTTTCAAGGTTTGTGTCTAAGCAGACTGATGAACTTCCTTGAAAGAAAACTCTTACTTGATGATGAAGAAGATGGGAAGAAACTTGACAAGAGCCGCTGGTCTGCAAATTTGGACCCACTTTGCTGGATGATTGTTGATCGTGTATACATGGGCTGCTTTCCAACCCCAGTCGGTGTGCTACGTACGCTAGAATTTTTAATGTCCATGTTGCAGCTTTCTAATAAAGATGGCCGTATTGAAGATGCAGTACCTTCAGGTAAAGGTATTCTATCCATTGCTCGAGGAGGCAGGCAACTTGATCCTTACATCCACGCCATATTGAAGAACACTAACCGGATGGTAATGTATTGTTTCTTGCCAACATTCCTTAAGAATATGGGGGAGGATGACTTGCTTGCAAATCTGGCTTTCCTAACAGAAACTGGAAGAAGTTTAGGTATTTTTAAACCTTCCCAGGAAGATTATACTGTTGATATCTGTACTGTTCTTCAGCTTCTGATTGCCAACAAGAGGCTGGTGCTGTGTCCAAGCAATGTTGATAATGATCTAATGTGTTGTTTCTGCATAAATTTAATGGCACTTCTTCGTGACAAGAGGTTAACTGCACAAAATTTAGCAGTGGATTTACTTAAATACTTGGTAGTGCATCGGCGTCCGTCTCTTGAGGACCTCCTAGTTAGTAAGCCTAACCAAGGGCAACAGATGGATATCTTGCATGGAGGGCTCGACAAACTACTGACTGGAAGTACAACAGCGTTTTTTGAATGGCTCCAGAGTTCTCAGCAAACAATAAGTAAAGTGTTAGACCAGTGCGCTTTAATAATGTGGGTTCAATATATTACTGGCTCAGCAAAATTTCCTGGGGTGAGAATAAAAGGCATGGAGGTCAGGCGCAAGAAAGATATGGGACGAAAATTACGTGAAATTGCAAAACTAGATTCAAGGCACTGGGAGCAGATAAATGAACGGAGGTACAATCTTGATTTGGTTCGTGATGTAATGTCTACAGAGCTAAGAGCGATTCGTCAAGACAAATATGGATGGATACTGCATGGAGAAAGTGAGTGGCAAAGCCAGCTCCAACAGCTTGTACATGAAAGAGGCATTTTCCCTGTGCGGCAATTATCGACAGAGCCTGCATGGCAGCTGTGCGCTGTTGAAGGACCGTATAGAATGCGGAAGAAACTTGAACCGTCCAAATTTAAGATAGATACTATTCATAATGTTCTAGCCAGCAACCTTGGGTTAGATGATGTTAAGATTACCAAGAAAGAGGATGGGCACATGGTGATGACATCTGGATCAGATACAATGTCAGGCTTGAATCTTTTGACCTATGACACAGAACGGAAGGATCTTGATGCTGCTGATTTTGCATCGTTCAAAGATGAAGATGACATATTCAAAGGAGGAAGCACAGTGTCACCTCCAATTGGCTGGACTGATGATAAAAGCAGCATTAACGAACAAAGTCTTCACTCTGCAACAGAACATGGAGCGAAATCAAGTTCCTTTTCTTATCACATGACAGAGAGTGTCCACGGTAAATCTGAATTTAATTCACCTAGACGGGCACCTTCAGTTAAGGGCACCGATACAAGAACCTCAGAGGATAAATCGGAAAAGGAGTTGCTTGACAATGGAGAGTATCTTATCAGACCTTATCTGGAACCTTCCGAAAAAATAAGGCATAAGTACAATTGTGAACGGGTTGCTGGTCTTGACAAGCATGATGGAATATTTTTAATTGGAGAACTTAGCTTATACATCATTGAGAACTTCTACATTGATGATTCCAATTGCATTTACGAAAAAGGCAATGAAGATGAGCTCTCTGTCATCGATCAAGCTTTAGGTGTAAAAAAGGATGTATTGGGAAGCTGCGATTCTCACCAAAAATCACCATCTACGTGGGGTGCAACAGCAAAAGTTTTGCTTGGTGGCAGAGCATGGGCATACAATGGAGGTGCTTGGGGTAAGGAGAAGCTTTGCAGTAGCAGCAATTTGCCTCATCCATGGCATATGTGGAAGCTTGATAGCGTCCATGAGCTCCTAAAGCGTGATTATCAGCTTCGCCCTGTTGCAATTGAGATTTTCAGTATGGACGGGTGTAACGAGCTTTTAGTTTTCCACAAAAAGGAGAGGGAGGATGTTTTCAAAAATCTGACCGCCATGAACCTCCCACGAAATAGCATGTTTGTATTCTTAACTCTTTGCAAATACATACACTCAGTAATTACCATGCATGTTCAGTCATTTCTTTAGTATAAGATCTGAATGTCAGGTCCTACTATCAAGGCTATGTAGTTTTCAGAGTTGAAACCATCTAGATATGATCCCTTGGCATAGGTTCACAACAGGTTTATGTGTTTCTTTGTCTATCCTGATAGGTTTATCACAACCGCTGAACAAGATTAGACTGGAAACTGTCTGCTTACGTCCATCGAGTACCGCTCAATGTCATTTTTTTAAAGAAAAATCTTAGCAACAAAATAGAGTAGTTTTTTTTTGGACTAACACCACAAGAAACGGGCATAATTCTGTTAAAACTAGCGAAACTGCCAGAAATATATGTAAATTTGCAATATCTTTGTTTTTTTTTATTAGTCAATTCTCACCCTTCCCTACTTAATCTGGTAATTAGCAAGTTCTAAGTGATTTATCATCTATGGTGGGAACATATTGTGAGTGCAAGTATGAATTGATAGACAGACACATGAAATTAAGTCCTAAGGCCTTTATTGTATGCTGGAGGTTTCTAATTGCTCTCATGTTCTTCCTGCACATGCACAGTCAAATTTTAAGTTGCACAACTAGGCATTATTTTTTAATGATTTTTACAATACACTTTTTTTGACATTGAAGTATACTTTTACCTATCATTAACAGGTTGGACACAACAATATCAGCATCCTCAAAACAGGATAGCGGTGAGGGGAGCCGTCTTTTCAAAATAATGGCAAAATCATTTTCTAAAAGATGGCAGAGTGGAGAAATTACCAACTTCCAATATCTCATGCATCTAAATACACTTGCTGGTCGAGGATACAGTGACCTTACGCAATACCCAGTATTTCCATGGGTTCTTGCAGATTATGAGAGTGATACTTTAGATCTGAGAAACCCACAGACGTTCCGTAAGCTTGACAAACCAATGGGATGTCAAACTGAAGGGGGAGAAGAGGAATTCCGTAAGAGGTTCGTTCATCTAACATCAATGGATATACTTATTTTGTTTATTTCTTAATATAAAAGACTATGCCTTTAGGCTGTAGTATTGCTGTACATAAGATAAGAATTTGTGCATCTAACATTATCTGAAATACCTTCTTCTGTTTACTTCAGATATGATAGCTGGGATGACCCTGAAGTACCAAAGTTCCATTATGGTTCTCATTATTCAAGTGCTGGGATTGTCCTTTTCTATCTTTTAAGACTGCCTCCCTTTAGTATGGAAAATCAGAAATTACAGGGTGGACAATTTGACCATGCAGACCGTTTATTCAATAGTGTTAAAGATACATGGGTAAGTGCTGCTGGCAAGAGCAACACATCAGATGTCAAAGAATTGATTCCGGAGTTCTATTATTTGCCTGAATTTTTGGAGAACCAATTTAATCTGGACTTGGGGGAGAAACAGTCCGGAGAGAAGGTATGCTACTTACACAAAAGTGCACTGAACTTTTAACTGGATGTAAATATGTAATGGCAATACTCTTAACCAAACCTATTCAAGCTGCATGTAATCTGTAAAATAATGATTTCAGGTTGGTGATGTTGTTTTGCCGCCTTGGGCTAAAGGTAGCTCCAGAGAGTTCATCAGGAAGCATCGAGAAGCCTTGGAGTCAGACTATGTATCCGAGAATCTGCATCACTGGATAGATCTTATTTTTGGATATAAGCAGAGAGGAAAGGTATAGGCCATCTCATGTTTGTGCATTCTTTATTGTTCCTAATGGTGGTGATATTGCCGTCATCATGACAACATAAATATGTTTGTCTTAAAAACAAGGGTGTTATCTTCTGTTATAGATTCGTATTCCTTCATTTCTGTGGTCCTAGTGGTGGTGACGTTGCCATCGTCATGAGTCCATGACAATTCAGACATGTTTGTAGTTTTTTACAAAGGAAAATGAATTGTGTTTTTTTATAGATTGATAAATTTTGTCCTTTATAGCATCTTACCCATTCAAAACCTCTCAATAGTTTTTTCTAGGTCTTGTTCAGCATGCTAAATTTGTATCATTTTTTACTTTCTCATGGTCTTTCAACTCTGAGCATTGATTTCTACACTGTTAGCCAGAAGTATTTTACATTTGTGAATGTAAACCAGAGTGACTTGTAAAATTGTGACACGAAACAGGGGAAGTTTTCTGCTAATCATATTTATTAACTTGTTCTAATTGTTATTTCTTTTGTATATGGCAGGCAGCTGAAGATGCTGTAAATGTCTTCTATCACTACACGTATGAAGGCAATGTTGACATAGATTCCGTATCAGATCCTACCATGAAAGCTTCGATACTGGCACAAATCAATCATTTTGGTCAGACCCCCAAACAATTATTCCAAAAACCACATCCTCAGAGACGGACTGACAGGAAGGTCCTTCCTCATCCTCTACGGTACAGCGCGTATCTTACACATCAAGAGATTCGGAAGACAACATCATCAGTTTCCCAGATTGTGACCTACAATGATAAGATCCTAATTGCTGCAGCGAACAGCTTTCTCAAGCCAGTAAATTATAGTGAATATATTTCCTGGGGATTTCCTGACCGCAGTTTGAGAATATTGACCTATGATCAGGATAAACTTGTATCAACACATGAAAACCTTCATGGTGGTAGTCAGATTCAGTGCACTGGAGTTAGCCATGACGGCAACATTCTCACAACAGGTGGTGATGATGGTGTAGTTGCAGTATGGAGATTTTTCAAAGATGGCACTCGTCGTCTCCTGAGAATGGAGAAAGCTCTGTGCGCTCACACTGCCAAGATAACATGTATCTATGTGAGCCAGCCTTACTCATTAATTGTCTCTGGCTCCGATGACTGTTCAGTGATCTTGTGGGACCTGACAAGCCTGGCCTTTGTGAAGCAGCTGCCAAGGTTCCCAGCATCAGTGTCTGCGTTACATGTGAACAATCTCACTGGTGAGATCCTGACTGGTGCCGGTGTTCTTTTTGCTGTTTGGAGCGTCAACGGAGACTGTCTTGCTGTGGTTAATACCTCTCAGCTTCCTTCGGATCTCATCTTGTCTGTGGCAAGCACTACAAACTCGGACTGGCAGGACACAAACTGGTACGTGACAGGTCATCAAAGCGGTGCTGTGAAGGTATGGAAGATGGTGCACTACACGTCTGATGAGGCAGCAAACAGCAAGAGCAAATCTCCACCGTCCACCCTTGGAGGGATGAGCTTGAATGGCCAGACTCAGGAGTACAGGCTACTTCTTCAGAAGGTGCTCAAGGCTCACAAGCACCCGGTCACTGCCCTTTGTCTTCCACCCGACCTGAAGCAGCTTCTGAGCGGGGATGCCAGTGGCCACTTGTTCTCATGGTCACTAAAAGATGATAGCTTTAAGGTTTCATAGCAACAGCTCAACAGAGGATAGTCAGGATTCACCTGCACATATAGAGAGCCTTAGTTAAGTTATATACCTCTGGTTCCTTTCTCACCCAGAATCTGACAAGCACCTGCTTGTGCTGCCAAAGAAAGAACTCAGAGTTGGCCTCGGCATGCAGAAACATTCTACAATATGGTTGGCCCAGGCCCCAGCCCATTCAGCAAAATCTGGGGTGAAGACACAGTACAACAGAAACACACTGGAAGGGATAAAATGGAGATGGCGTTGTGCTGACATTACAATCTTATTATACTGTGAATTATCTACCGGTTCTACCTCATCTTCTTGTTTTTTCATGAGAGGATTCGTGCGGGGTAGCAACCAGCGTGTGTAAAGTTTGTATAGGATGCTTTTGGTTAGTAGTGGTGAGGGGACGATGGTGATGATGTTGTACGGTGAAGATGTTATTTTTCGTCTTGGGGATGTAAGGAAAGGGGTGTTAGGTTCCTCTTCTTTTTCTGTTTTGTTTCTCTATTTTGTCCCCAGAAGTGGTGGTGTTCATTCATTGACTGGGTGTAATTTGAGCACCCTTCTGTTCACTTCAGTTCATTTGCACATACATGCAAGAGATTTTGTTCAACGCAGTGATGCACCTTATCCATGGACCATGTAGTATCTCACTCGGAAGTCTCATCTGTTGATGCAGCTACACTAATTAATTAAGCATTAATCGTGGGAAGAGTAACGATAGTCTTCACCAATCTCCTTGGGACACGTTTGTGTCGGTGACCACTGTAGTACATGGCGAACAGCAAACTACTAGTACTAGCGATCTAGAAAATCCTAAATCATGTGGTTCCTGTACAGTTTATTGGTGAGAAAGCACGATAAGGATAATGACGAATCCGTGATGAATCCTGAGACGTAGACTTTGACCATTAAGCTTTGAAATGATGGCTTTCTTTGATTTCCTTTGCTAGCTTACTTAGCTGGCAAAGCTTAATCTAGGCCAATCTGCCGGATATTCGCAGCCATTTACGCTTTCCACGTCAGTGCATGATGGAGTATTCTACGCACGGGATGTATTAAAATTGGATAAGCATAACTGATAATTTGTTTGTTCTCCGAAATTACCAAACTGTCCTTTTTAACGCAATTTGATAAACACCCTAGTGCCGTATAAGCGCCCATATATCTAATTTTTGAACAAATCACAGTTTTTTCACTTCTTATTTCTGAATATATTTCACTCTGTATTTCTTCCTCAAAAATCATGATGTGCACATGTTTTTTCATAAATAATATTTTTAGTACATATAAAAGTGAACTCCCACTTGCATTTGCATCTAGAAAGCATGACAAAAACCATCGGCGGCACAACAAAAATCAACCCAATTTATCTGACCGGAAAAATAAAAAAGCTTCCAAAAAAAAATCTGACCAAACCGACCAAAGGGCAAAATGGGAACCCAAAAAAACTCTCTATAAATGTTGACTCCAGGCAATCAGCGTGGCCGCGTCACAGCACACAGACATCGGCGAAGCAAAGCGCACCACGCACACGGAAAGAGAGGAGAGGTCACATCGCGGCGGCGGCGGCGAGGATGTTGGCGGTGTTTGATCCGACGGTGGCCAAGTGCCCGGAGGGCCTCCGGAGCCCGCCGGTGGCCGGCGGCGCCGTGGCGGCCGGCGGCGCGGGCGCGCTGATGAAGGGCTTCGCCGGAGCGCACGCCGACGCGGTCACCGTCAGCCTGGGCCCCGCCGGCGCCCTCGCCTACTCGGCGGCCAACCAGAGCCCCCTCGTCCCCAGGTGTTTGCTCTGTTCTTGGCTCCTCTCGCTGATTAGCTGGGGTAAGCCGATGCTTTGTAGCGCGTTCTTGGGATGCAAAAAAAAAGCGTGCTCTTTTTTGGCTGTTCGGCACTTAAGCCCGAGATTTGGTGATGCGGCTGTTTCGTCTGAGGTTGGAACGATGAAATTTTGGGAGATCTCCGTTTCTTTTGGTTTCTTGGGGCTAAGCCAGTGTAGGCAGTAGCCATGGATTTTTTTTTTCTTGGGGTTTCCTATGGGGATTTTATCTTATGGGAAAAAAATCATGCTATTTTAGTTCGACCTTGAGTTTTGCGAAAATTTAGGGGCTCTTTGTAAGGATCAAAATGAATTGAGTTTGATTTGATGTTCTTTTTGGTGTCGGCCGCGTGGTCGATCGGCATGTCCGCATGTGGTGTGATCTCGAGTCTTTCTTGGATAAAGTTGGGAGATTTCTGCACCTTAAAGTTAGGTGAGGCTCGTCGATCTAATAGTTGCTTAGATCTGCACGAAAAGTTAGGGGATAGGACCATTATGATGAGCGGAACGGGTATATGGTCAACCATTCTTTCGTACCATTCCATCCTGCAAGATTTAGACAATATTTTTATTTTTTTAGTCGAGTTCGTTTCTTCATGTGGATGCATTTTGTTCATGGCTATACTGTAATTTTATTTGATCAGTTGAGTACCGAGTACGTTGTGAATCAATGGCATATTAGCCGATCAAACAATTTAGTGAATTCCGCATAAAACTTGATGAAAATTTAGTAAGATCAAGCTTGTTCATGCTAATCTGAAACTACCATGATATGGGAGCCTTGGCTGAACCTTTTCATAGACAGATATGTCCATTCCTATCCACCCAATTCTTTGTGTAGCATCGGATGTTTCAACATTTTTATACATGTCGCTATAGCTTAGATATTCAACAGAAGAAAAAGAAACAATCCAGAATGTGTGGTACCACATGTCCATTGTCCATTGTTGACATGTTTGTATTACATGTCAATTTGGTACTTGTTAAACAATTGTTCCTTGTCATCCAACAGGGATGATGGTGATCAGTTATGTTTTTTATTGGGTAGTAACACGTCATTTACAGCAAAGAGCAAACGTGGACGTTTGTGGAGTAGTCTGCAGTTGAGTTTTGAGCCCCCCTAAAATAACCCAAAGTGCATGGCAAATTGTCTTTATATAGATAGCGATTTTAACTTAAAATAACATTTGGCCGGTTGCACTTGGGTAACCTATTAGACTTCTCTGTTGCAAATTTGTAAGATTCCAGCATCATGGTTTTGTGGTGTTCGAACCTTGAAGCATTTCTCTGTTGCTGTTGTGAAATAAAAACATTGTGTTAGAGGAAATATTTCAGATGACAGTGTGTATTTGTTTGGCATGTGGTCATTCTAATAAATAGCAGTAACATGGACTTCCTTTTCACCATGAGAATGGTGCATCGCAATTCGTAATTATTGTTACTGGCAACTCTTCTGTTTTCCGCAACTCTACAATTTCATGAATTATGTTTAGTAACTCTGGATTTGTGCTCCTACCCAGGTTGTTTGGTGCTGTGAATGACATATTCTGCCTGTTCCAAGGACACATTGAGAACATTGCCAGTCTGAAGCAACACTATGGTCTGAGCAAGACAGCAACTGAGGTTACCATCCTGATTGAGGCCTACAGGACCCTCAGGGACAGGGGCCCTCTCCCAGCTAGTCAGGTCGTGAGAGATCTCAGCGGGAAGTTCACGTTCATCCTGTATGACACTCTGTCAAAATCCACCTTCGTTGCTGCAGTAAGTACATCATCTCTCTTTCCTGAGGCATATACTTCTGCTCTGAAGGCTGTGGTTCTGATCCCATTTCTCTGCTCAGGATGCTGATGGTAGCATTCCTTTCTTCTGGGGCGTTGACTCCGAGAACCACCTTGTGTTCTCTGACAATGTTGACCTTCTCAAGGCATCCTGCGGGAACTCGTTTGCGCCATTCCCCAAAGGTAAACTGCGATGACCGATATCAGTATCGGGCCTTTCTTCTCATTGTTTCACCAGAATTCAGCTGAAGTGCTCCACTCTCTCACACCGTCATTTGCGATTGTTCGTCAGGCTGCTTCTACACCACCTCTGGAGGGCTGCAGAGCTTCGAGCACCCGCTGAACGAGCTGAAGCCTGTGCCGCGGGTCGACAGCCAGGGCCAGATGTGCGGCTCCAACTACAAGGTCGACAGCGAGGCCAAGAAGGACTCCGGGATCCCTCGGGTCGGCAGCGCCGCAGACTGGTCCAACCATTTCTGAGGCAAAGATACCATTGAGATGGCTTCCATTTTACCATTTCGGCATTTCCAGTTGTGGACTCTGCCCTGTATGTCTGATGCTGAAGTACTCAAGAACCACTCCTGAGACGACGCGCTAGGTTTTACTTTCAGGCGTCCGTAAAACTCTTCTGCAAACATTCAGAGCATTGCTATCTTTCTACGTCATAGTACTGAATACTGATACTTATGTAATCTGATGATACCACGTTGTGGTTGAGGTCTATCTCTCGTGTTCTGATAAATAAAGCTCAATGAAAGCTTCAGATATGTGGTACTGTTGGCATTCTACGTGGCGTATTGTGATGATTGATGATAGCCTCCAAGAATTTTATGCAGCACTCTACCTGAAGTTTGTAAAGAAAGCACACGGTTTTTGTTGATTTTCAAGAATTCAACTTCACCGTACAGCAGATCACACTAGAGGGAGTATCTATAGATCACCCGACCGATTTTAAACGAAAAACACTCAGATTTTTAATACTTACATAATACACATGAAAATAGCATGTATAACTTACACGTATCATAACACAGAATTCACTATTAAAGATAAGCTTATTGTTAAAAGTAAAGTGTAACTTACAAGCGGTGAAAAATAGAAAAAAAATAAATCATACAAATCTAATAGAAATTGCATTTGTAATTTACTCTGACTCCCAATGTAACTACTACAAATTACACTCTAAAAGTACTATATTTACACTGTAATTTTTTTTCCTCAACCTATCTCCTCTCTTTATCCCCTATACACTTTTGGGCGAGGTGAAGTTGACAGGAAACAATGCACTACACAACTAACAACAACTTAAACTATTTAATTAGTGAGTGACAAAATAATCAACCATATGAATGGATGTACTGTACCAGGTAGTCAAGCACTCCCGAGTTAAGTGTTTCGTGGGCGCGCTGACACAATAAGGGCACGGATCTCAAGGTTAGATTAACAGCTGAAAATTCGACAAATTTATTGACAGATTTTTAGCATAGTCGGGCCTAAATGGGCCACATATGCAGACATAAGACATGTTTAAATGGGCCTAAATTCCGGCCCATATAAGAGAGAGCTAAAGTACGAGATGGGCCTAAACTTGGTCGGCCCATACCGGCCCACCAACCTCGTCTTCTCGGACTCCGCGTCCACACCAACAACGCGCTCTTCTCTTCTTCACTTCTTCTCCCCCATTTGGAATAAGTTCATCTGAGGTCCCTTAACTTGTCAACGAATCCGATTTTTGCCCCTCAATCCGAAAACCAGACACAAAGGGTCCCTCAACTATCAACACCGGTACAGATTAGGTCCCTTGGCGGTTTCGAGGGTGGTTTTGGCTGACGTGGCGCCTACATGTCTAATTTGACTCGGTCTTCATCTGACGTGGCACATACGTGGCAATTAGATCCAGAAAAATAATAAACTTCGTGGGACCCACATGTCAGTCTCACGCACAAATTAATTAAAAAATGATAGGGCCCACGTGTCATTCTTAGTGTCTCCCTCTCTTCAACTCTCTCCCCCTCTTCTTCTTCCTCTCTCCCCTCTCCCATCCCAGAGGCGGCGCACGGTGCCGGGGGAGGAGGGAGGCGGCCGGGCGAGGAGGGGCAGCTCGCTGTAGCCGCGCGAGGAGAGGCGACGCGCGGCGGCCGGGCGAGGAGGGAGGCCGAGCTCGTCGGCGACCTCCTCCTCTGCCTCTTCCTCCTTCGGCCACCTTCCCCGCTCGCTGTCCGGCCTCCTTGCTGTGCTCATGCTGCACTGGCTCACGGCGGCCTACGACGGGTGATACATCAGCATCGCCGGGAGTCGCGGGTTGGGCGGGGGCGACGGCGCAGAGGAGGAGGTGGTCGAGGGTGGCTCGGAGGCCCGCCGCGATGACCTCGTTCTACGGGCGAGGCCGCACCACGCCTGGCTCTCGGCGGTGGCCTGACGGAGCCGCTCATCCAGCTCGACGGCGTGGCGTCGGGTGACGTCGAGCTCGACCTCCTTCTCCCGCAGCCGCCATGCCGCGGCGACCGACACGACGACACCGAGCGAACCAGCGCTTGACATTGCTCGAGCCCGACGCACATCCGCTCGCACTCCATCCGCACAACAGCGTCGATCTTCGCGCTCTACATGCACAGCTCCGACACCAGCGCATCCCCCACCGCCGCAGCCGACACCATCGACCGCCCACTTGTCGACGTCATTGTCGACTCCACCAACCGGCTCACTGGTGCAACCACCTTCACCATCCCGGGAATCGGCAGTGAAGAGGAGGCGAGAATGGCGTGGCTGGAGGAAGACGAGGGAGAGGGAGACGCGCGTCGGCTATATAAAGCAACGCCTTGTCGTCGGCGGTGGCGGTGATTGGGGGAACGACGACAATGGCGGCGGCGGTAGCCATGAGGCGGCGCCACGGCGCGAGGAGAAGCACCCGAATACGGCCACAGCCTTGTGCTATCGCGCACTCGCTTCGCCTGCCGTGGGCGCGCGAGGGGGGAGAAAGCCGAGGATGAGGAAGATGAGGGATAAGGGAGAGGGATCATCGGCGGCCAGGACCGAGGGCCGGAAGCTCGTAGTGAGGGCCAGAGAAGGTGAGGCCGAGCTAGATGAGGTGGAGCATATCGACGTTGGCCTTGAGCGTGTGGAGTGGGGCATCGGCAGCGGAGGCGAGGAGCCGGTGGAGATCCGTGAGGTGTGGACGGACAACCTTGAGGTGGAGCTCGCGTTGATCCGCGACGTCGTCGACGAGTTCCCCTTCGTCGCCATGGACACAGAGTTCCCTGGCATCGTGTGCTACCCACGCCGCCGCTCCGCTCTGTGCGCCGCTGTTGACAGAAAACACGAGGCCTGGGAGATCTGCTTAACTCCAGTGCAGGTCCAAAGCTTGCCTTCGGGTGTGCTAGCGTGCCAGTTGATTTGATCCTGTAACCAACAAGAAGTAGAAGCAAAGAAATCGCGGTTAAATCTATAAATGATAGCCGATTGGCTAAGTGCCGATGACATATCATTTATCTTTGAGCCGATGTCATATGTGTATCGATCGGCAATCTTGAATAAGTAAGAAAGAACTAAATCTACTTGATCGGCTATAGATGTTAACGATATATACTCCTTATATCGATATATACTTAAATCAAGTGATTGGAATAGATCGATCGCCATGCCGAGACAGTATAAATCACTTAGACCGAAATATATATTAATAACAGGACTATATATGTTTACAGCATAGCCGATCAGATAGATCTAGCATGTATTGGCTAATACTCCGATACTACTTTATATCAGGATATTAAAACAGCAATATCTTGGCATAAAGAGCAGATTTAACATGTCAATAAAGCATATAGAGCAAATATAGTTAAATCAGATAAGATCGGCTGAAACTCCGATGCTACCCTAATCGGCAACCAGAAGACAGGCTAGAGGTTGATATTCTAAGCACGACTTAATAGATCAAACTTAACTGATGCAGCATTAAGTATGAAAAGAAGAACAATATCTAGACAATCAAACCACTGGAAGTTTCATAAAGTGGTAAATATCTTATATAATTTAGGTCAACTTCGCTATTTAACCTGGTCGGCTGCCTTCTACCGACCGGTGTTAGCTGATTGTAGATTAGATAGCGGTATTGCCGGAGATTATGTAAGATATATGATAGCTCGGCGAATTATATAAACGAGATCAGAGTATCATAAAGATGGAAGCACTAATCCCGAAAACACAAGTCGTCATAATAAGTTTTACCTCTCGTTGAAGATCAAAACCGATGCAGCTCAACCCGAAAGCAAGAACTAGTCGAAACAAAATTAAAGTAAAAGGGTGGCGATGCGCCGAGATTGTATTGAATGTGTGTTAAAAGTTACATAGGGCTCAGGTCTATTTATACCCGAGAATTATAAGATATGTCCATAACGGACACGACTACTATCTCTAATAAACTCTAAGATACTATATGTCTTTGCGGCAGACTTTTGCCCAATCATATCTCTAAGGATAAAACATAAAACATCCTAATTAATAGATATAATTGCCTCCTCAGGACTCTATCCATGTGCGGCAATCACCTTGAAGCACCTCAATCCAACCAGACATCACACATATAGATTGGCTACATCGGCTTACCTAGTCCGACTCAGACTCAGCCGATCTTATCGTAGCCGATCTGGACTCCAGCCGATCCCTGCTCTGTTTCCGAACTCGATCTCTGCCTCCGACTTCGCTTCAATCTAATCTTCTTTCCCAATGCCGATATTACCAAATTTGGTTGTTAACAGCCGTTGCCCCCATTTATCTGCTTGCCCAGCGCTCCCGCCGCCGGCCACCGCCACCATCGCATCCTCCAGCGCTGCCGACCTGTACGGGCTCCAGGTGCTCACCGACGGCATCCAGGACGACGACATCCAGCGCAAGAGAGAGATGAAGAGAGGGAGATGGGGAGAGAGGAGGAAGAAGAGGAGGGGTGAGGATGACATGTGGGGCCCACGTGGGCCCCACCATTTTTTAATTAATTTGTGCGTGAGACTGACATCTGGGTCCCACGGATTTTATTATTTTTCCGGATCTAATTGCCACGTAAGCGCCACGTCAATACCACGTCAGATGAAGACCGAGTCAAATTAGCCACATAGGCGCCACATCAGCCAAAACCGCCCTCAAAACCGCCGGGGGACCTAATTTATACCGGTTTTGATAGTTGAGGGACCCTTTGTGTCTGGTTTTCTGGTTGAGGGACGAAAATCAGATTCGTTGACAAGTTAAGGGACCTCAAATGAACTTATTCCCCCATTTCCATTCACAACCAAAACAAGCCTAAAAAATTGAAGTTTTTTCACATTAACTTTATTATTCCCCCCCTCCCCCTTCTCCTTCCATCCCCTTCCTCCCGTGTACGAAACCCTAGGTGGCGACGCGGCCGCCCAAAACCCCGCCGCGTCGGCCCCCGGATGGCCCCCGCCGCGGCGGACCCCGACGCCGACGACCCCCCCGCGCGCAGATCCGACGCCACCGACGTCGCCGGCAACACCTGGGACCTCGCCGCGCTGCCGCCCCCGCCGCCCGCGGCGAGGGGCGGCGGCGGCGAGGTCTACATCTACCGCAACACGTACAACCTCGTCCCCCGCTCCATCGGCGGGTGCCGCGGGAGCGTCAGGTCGCTCAAGTTCTTCGGCAACGACGTGGAGGTGCTCCCGCCGGAGGCTGGCGAGCTGGACCAGCTCGAGAGCCTGCAGGTGAAGGTGTCCGCGCCCAGGGTCTCCGGGGCGCCGCTCCGCCGGATGCGGGCGCTCAAGGAGCTCGAGCTCTCCATTGTCCCGCCCAGGCCGTCCGCGTGCTCCATACTGGTCGAGGTCGCCGCGCTCAAGTGCCTCACCAAGCTAACAATCTGCCATTTCTCCATTAGGTATGTTCAGGCCAGTGGCCTAATTGGTCCGGGCAGTGTTCTTTTCAGCAAAGTTCTTCAATTTGTTCATAACGGTGTCTTCTATGTAATTGAGCAACGCTATGCAATGTAAATGTGGTTCCTTTCTTCTGTATTTACATGGCATTTTTTTTGTCAGTAACGCGTAACAACAGATTAAATGGATAGGAATAACATAGATATGAACTAGCCTCTAACTGGCCATGACCTTTTTATTTGGTGTGGATTTTCCATGCTGACTATCTCTGATGGTTATGATTGCCTTTGCCAAATTTAAATCAGAATTAGAGGAGGAACATTAGCTTTGTTAGGCTGTTACAAAATCTATTAATTCCTCTACTGGTAAATACACATTTTGTAGTATACTCCCTCCCTCCACATATCTAGGGAATATTCCTTTGCTGCTCAAAGGCCAAGAGTTCACCTAAAATGACCAAACAGTTCTTTACATGCACTAGCTGGGCCCCCCTTTGCGGGTATGATGGGTTGGCATGGCTGCTTGATGCCATATTCCTTCATCCATTCACACTTGCACTAGTTGAATGCTCAATGCCTGCATGCACATTCAGTACAGTGTGCGGAGTAGTGAAGGGTACATGAGACCAAAAACCAAGAAGAGATTCTTCAGGTGTAGTGTGCACCCTTCATTCCTGGTCAAGAGCTCAAATCAAAAGGCACCCTACATAAGTGGATGGAGAGAGTGCGTGCTGTACAGCATCTGGTTACCCAGAGTGGTAGTTAGACCAACTATTGGAAATTATACAATATTTCTGATAATGTTTCTATTTTAGGCTATATTAAGTTAATCATTTTCTCTCACTCCTTCAAATAGAAGAAATGATGATTTCTCAACCCCTTTTTTTACATTCTATAGGTACCTCCCTCCTGAAATTGGCTCCCTAAGGAAGCTGCAAGAACTTGATCTTTCGTTCAACAAGTTGAAGAACTTGCCTAACTGTATAACTGAGTTGGGTGCCCTAAAGTTCCTCAAAGTGACTAATAATAAGTTGGTGGATCTACCATCAGGAATCTCTTCTTTGAGATGTCTTGAAAGCCTTGATTTATCAAACAACAGATTGACTTCCCTTGGATCAGTTAAACTCATTTCTATGCTTACACTACAGTATTTAAATCTTCAGGTATATCTTATTATTTATTAACATAATTTATTTTTTCCTACCTGTTTATTTTGTATAAATGGCATCTTTTTTTGCTGTGAATTGAGCTGTCATGGTTAAACATGATACTGTCTCAATTTATTTGATATCCTTCCTAGTCTTGTCCAGTAATTTCTGATTTTTTAGATCTCAATTATCTAGTTTCTGTAGCCTTTTCTGATTCTATGGATTGATTCACTTTGTGGATCAAAACCTCAACATTTTTAAGAACATTATTAACTGTTGTATTTGAAGAGAGATGTTTGTCACTTTTGAGTAAAGGAACTATCGATGGGTTAATGATCTTTGTCCAATTTTTTCTGTTGCCATTGAAATTCAATGAAAGTGCAAGTACAAGAGTTTATCTGGAACTAGAAAAACATCTATAGAAATGTCTAGCCAAAAAGAAATATCTCGCAGCTAGTGGAGTGGATTTATAAGATAAATAATGTGGCACTGTGGTTCTCTCTCTTTTTTTTGACAAGAGTTTTGATCTTTTCTTTTAATGCTTGCAGTGATTGTACTGTGGAACTTTTGCATTGTGTTATGGTATTTAGGATTTATATACCAGACTGACTTTTTTTTTCTCTGTCTCAAGTTTAATAGGATCTCCAATTCTTGTGTTATTCCTGCATGGGTATGTTGTGACATGAGAGGAAATGGTGAAAACAATATGAAGCCTGGCAAACTAAAATCTATAGCTGTTGTGAGCAACACTTCAGCAGAATCTAGAAGTATGAATCATACTTGCAATGCTTCACGTTTATGTTCACATCCAGAAGCTTCCGCAAATTTAAAAGTTCATCCCACACAGAAAACAAAGAAAGGTTGGAAGCGGCGGGATTGCCTGCAACAACAAGCTCGTCAAGAGCGTTTGGAATCAAGCAGGAGCAAGCTCAATGATGATTATGTTGATGAAATGGCTGTGAATATGACAGAAGATGAGAGCCCGTTGCATGATATGGAAAACAAGTCAGAGATGAAAGGCATTGATGAAGAAGCTTCATTACAGGATTTGCCAAAAGAAACAAGTTCTATATCTGAGGACTTGTCATGTATAGTTGATGATGACTCCTATGGGCATATTAAAGATAGTGGCATGATGTTACAGGACCATAATGAAGAAGAAAAGCCTGGATTAAGTATGAAAAGCCATGGCAACTGTTCTTGTATCAGCGGTAACACTGATATTTTGAGCAGGAGAAGGATCCGCAGTGTTGAAAACGAACTAGAGGATTCTGCATCATCAGTCCATGATGCTGCTGTGGTTGTTGAAGAGAATCCTTCAGAAACATCTAAGCATTCATGGAAATCTAAAAGGCACCCTGATATGGACTGCAATCCTAAACCTAGCAAATGCCCTAGACCATTTGATGAATGCTCAAAGTTATCCTATAAGTACAGTGTGCAATCGTTCTGCAGCATTGATGATCATCTACCAGATGGCTTCTATGATGCAGGACGAGATATGCCTTTCATGCCATTAGAGGAGTATGAGCGGAGTATTGGACTATATGCACGTGAAGTTATTCTCTTGGACCGGTTAGTGCACACTCCTATCTATACTTAGGCTCTCTCTATTTTGCATAGTGTGCATGTTTTGACTTCCTTTTTTTTCGTTCAGAGAACAAGATGAAGAGTTGGATGCAATCGCGTCTTCAGCACAAATATTGCTGTCTAATTTGAAAATGCCAAGCTGTTTTGTAGCTGATGAAGATGCAGGCCAGGACTTACTAAGGGCATCTGTGCTTGCTTTGTTTGTTTCTGACTGCTTTGGAGGTTGTGATAGAAGTGCTTCTCTCAGTAGAACACGGAGAGCTATTGTTAGCTTGAGAAAGGAGCAACCTTTTGTTTGCACTTGTTCTGCTGGGAGCATATGTGACAGCACTGAAGCATCTAAGCGGATCAATAATCTTTACGGCCACTTTGATTTTACTGGCCTGTGCGATAAATCAATACATATCATCAAAGAAAGGAGAAATTCAGGAATTGTACCGATAGGAGCACTGCAATTTGGTGTTTGTAGGCACCGAGCTGTCCTAATGAAGGTAACTCCTCGTTTCTTTGGCCTGAGCTCATTCTATATTTGCTCTTTAACATTGCAACCATATCCACTGCAGTACTTGTGCGATCGAGCAGACCCTCCAATTCCTTGTGAGCTTGTGCGGGGGCATCTTGACTACACACCTCATGCTTGGAATGTTGTTCCTGTTAGAAAAGGGAATACATGGGTAAGGATGATAGTGGATGCATGCTACCCAACCAATATAAAGGAAGAGACAGATCCAGAGTACTTTTGCAGGTAAACACACTGTGATCCTAAAATCTGTCTGTGCTACATGTTTTTGCTTTGTGTGTAATTTATGTTGTTTTAACCTACTATGATGTTTTTGTAATAATTTTTAGACCGAAGATGTTTTTATAATATTTTCACTATTTGAACTGTTTCAATGTGTGGTATTGTCATGTTAGCAAAAAGAGATGACAACATGACATTTTCCTAATGTTGCCAATAGCTAACATCATTTTTTGGTCCTTATTTATATCATAAGTAATCTATATATGATTGAAGTTAGAAAACATAAGAACTCCTGTCCATCTGCCATACTATCATCATTTTTTAGTTAGTTCTGAAGTTCAGAAGCTATATTCACTCTTAACAAAGATAACCTATTCATCAATCATCCTTTTTTTTTGTGTTTCTAATAGATAGATATCCATTTGATCTACTGTTATTTTGTTCACTTGATGGTAAGTAATCTCATCCGCTGATCTAGTTGCATGCATCTTACCCATCTTATTTCAGTTAGTTATTGGAAACAAGTATACATTTTACATATATATTCTTTTGAATCCAACATTCTAACTTACTGAGTCCCTAGGTTTCGAAAATAATGTAATGGAAAAGGAAGTGTTTCCAGTAATTGCTATTTGACTTGAACCTGTTCTGAGAATTTACCCTTTGTTGCATATTGTTTTAGGTATGTTCCACTCAGTCGGCTTCAGATCATACTTGATGATCAGGGTTATACTCCACGGTCTCCCTTTCCTTCTGTCTCACTGTGCAAAGAAATAGAAACTACAGCTTCTAGTTCAGTCTACTACTGCAAAATTGGTGCTGTTGATGCGGCAGCAAAGGTTTGTTATTTTTTTATTTATTTGTCACGCCTTTGTCTTTTTGTTTGGAGTTAGTTGATGTTGCTATTAAATGCAGGTAAGATATCTAGACACTCGATGTGCTTCTAGTGATGAAGTTAAAAATTTTGAATACAAGCTTCTCGCGGAAGTAAGAATGCTGGGTGCCCTAAGGAAGCACCAATCCATAGTGGAAATATATGGTCATCAGCTTTATTCTAAATGGGTTCAAGCTGATGATGATAAGGAATACAAGATATTACAGTCCACAATTATGATGGAGCATGTGAAAGGAGGGTCTCTGAAGGTATGCATATGACTCCTTATGTAATCACCTTCAGTGTTCAGATATTTTCGTTAACTTAAGGCCTTTGTTTTCTCTTGTTAGGGTTATTTGACAAAATTGCTGAAAGAGGGCAAGAAGCATGCACCTATTGACCTGGCATTCTACATTGTACGAGAAGTTGCTTGTGCATTGTTGGAGCTGCACAAAAAGCTAGTTATTCATCGGGACATAAAAAGTGAGAATGTTTTGGTTGATCTGGATTTAGAGAGAAGTGATGGCACACCAGTAGTCAAACTCTCTGATTTCGACAACGCAATTCCTTTGCATTCTCTCTCCCACACATGCTGTATAGCTCACCTTGGGACATATCCACCCAATGTTTGTGTTGGTACACCATGCTGGATGGCTCCAGAGGTTCTTCGTGCCATGCGAGACAAAAACCAATATGGACTGGTATGCTTTTATTCCACAGTTCTGTCTTGTTGCTATCAATGCTAGTTTAATTGTTCTGCATTCTGGCTGAGGAAACCAAATGCTGCACCATTGTTATTATTATGTTTTTGTAGTTGAGGCGGTTATCATAATATTTTGACATCTGAGCGAATGATTTTTTATTAGCATGTGCTATCCAAATTTGAACCAGTTTAGTTATTTTCATTTTTCTTAAAGCATCACTTTTTTTTTGGTGAAAACTCTTCCTTTTTCTTTTGTACTCGGCCATTAGAGTTACTCCCTACATTTCAGTTTACTTGTCATTCTAGCAAATCTCACACCAAACAAGGAGGTGTGGCAAATTACATGGTTACCCTCAATAAGTACATCCCAATCAATTTTCCCAAAAGCAAGCATTAAAAGTCCTTGTGTGGAGTACTAGTATTGATGAAGGGTAGGAAGTAACCTCTAAAAATGTTTTGGAATGTGAGAATGACACTTTGATAAACAAATTGAATGCTAGATGACAAGTAAAGTGAAATGGATGTAGTATCACTTATGTTGATATCCAGTGTACATCCACTTCTTTAAATTATTATGTGAATATCAACAATATGCTCCTAGGTACCTTCTAGCATGTAGTCAAATCAACACTCCATATAATTGCTTGATGTTTATATATATATATATATATATATTGCAGGAAGTTGATATCTGGTCATTTGGCTGTTTTTTATTGGAGATGCTTACACTTCGGATACCCTACCAGGGCCTACCTGATTCAGAAATATATGATCTCATAATGGTAGGTCCATTACATCACAATCAATTACCTGTCTCTGTGTACATCAGGATTAACAATGATCTGAATTTTCTATAATCAGAGGAAGAAGCAAAGACCAAGACTAACTCAAGAACTAGAAGCGTTCTGGACGTTAGACAAGCCAATTACGAGGCTGGAGTTGGGTATCACATCTGATGCTCATGCAGAAAAACTAAGACTGTTGATAGATCTCTTCTACCAGTGCACTAAAGGAATTGCATCTGAGCGCCCAAAAGCTGAGGCGGTTTACAATTTACTGTGCTCTCTACCCACATGCTATGACATGAGGTGAAAGTGTGGATCTTAAATCAGTATGACATAAGGTGAAAATGTGGATCTTGAATCAGGAACCTGTTGATGAGACAGCCAGCCAGATCGGCCTGCGCCAGGATGGCAAGTTATGCTGGGTGGTTTTAGCAGGTCAACAGATCTGGCCTCGCTTGGTTTGAACTTCTGACCAGCATGCCGCTTATTCTTTGAGTGCTGGCGATGCGGAACACGAGAAATCCAACCAAAACCAAAGCCGGTGGCAGCATTGTTCTGAGTTCTCTGGAGTTCATCCTGTGTCAGTTTTGTAGCAGCCAGCCCCGTTTCCCGCCTCTTGTGTTGCTGCGGTGTTGGCCTGACCATGTGTTGCTTGTCGTGTCATTTGTTTTTGTTTTTCATTATTGCGTTAATTTATTGATTTAGGCCATTCACAACCCCAAGGCGTCTGTCTGCTGCACATGACCCATTCTGTATTTGTATCTGTATCTGTATGTACAAGTGTCGGTCCATCCGTGATCCATGTAACCCTCTACTGTTGAGTCATGTAACAATAACAGATACTGTTTTGAGGTTATTTATCATGAGGGATTGTTTTTCCATTTAAAGTTTCAACAATAGTACTCATGGCAGTTTATCATTTGTGTTAGTATCACATAGCATGCACTGTGTATGAGTGTATCCCTCCCTCCAGAGGAACAATGTACTATTCTCATTAAAACAGTTTCCCTGCATCAGTTAATAATATTCGTTGTGCGTGAACTGTACTCCAGTGTAATAAAGTGGTGATCTTATATTTGGACGCATGCTGATTGACCATGCTTTACGCATGAACTGATTTATGCTGAATTGCATTCTCAGCCTGGAGTGTGAAGCCAATGATATACTTAGGGTCCTTTTGAATCACAGGATTGATAAAACATAGGAATAGAAAAAACGTAGGATTTTGATAGGAATGTAAGTGCAAAACGGAGGATTACAAAACGCAGAAAAAACACAGGAATGACCGTTTAATTGAACCGCAGAAAAAAACACAGGAATTGGATGAGAGAGATAGACTCAAAGAAAAGTTATCAAGAGGTTGAAGCTCTTGCTAAATTTCCTCCAAAATCTCTATAATATTATTCATTCCACAGGAATTTCAAAGGATTGGATATGATTCAATCCTTTGTTTCAAAGGGCTCCATAGAAAATTTTTCTATAGGATTAAAATTCTCTAAAATTTCTATATTTTTCCTCCAAATTAACCTGTGTAGTATTTCTGCAGCAGCTCGTTGGAAATCCATTGCCCTGACAATGTAACAGGCTCGATGTAACACTCACAGGTCGACAGCTATTTCCTTAGAGATCAGTATATACAATACTGTTCACTGTATTCTAGTGTAGCAGTAGTAGCTGCTACAGCTCCCATTTTCAACACCGGTCTGTTGAAAGGCAAACATCGACAATGCACGCACAATAAAATTTGCAGTGTGCTAACTTCTTTGACCACCGTTCTGCCATGCTCCAAGCATAAGCCGTGGCAGCAACGAATAAATAAATACTTCACCTGTCTTAGACTTTCATTATTGTTCACATTCATTAACATCTATATTAATGTGGGCAATGCTTAATATAAAATAAAAAGAGTACATATTAATATATATATTTTTTAAAAATAGCATACCTTTACTTTATTAAATTTCAATACAAGTATTCCTTACCTTATTTATTTTTAATGTAATTATTCTTTGTTTTTATAAACCCTAAGGGTATGTTTAGTTCACACTAAAATTAGAAGTTTAATGTAATTATTCTTTGTTTTTATAAACCCTAAGGGTATGTTTAGTTCACAGTAAAATTAGAAGTTTGGTTGAAATTAAAACGATCTGACGGAAAAGTTGGAAATTTATATGTAGGAAAGTTTTGATGTGATGAAAAAGTTGAAAGTTTGAAAAAAAAAATTTGCAACTAAACACACCGTGTTATTTTAGATAAATGGCATAACCTTAAAAAGCCTAACCGAAGGAGTACCACTAGGCGGCTGCTGCTGTTGTTGCAGTAAACCAAAAAAAAAAAAAAATTTGTTTACAAAATGCGGTTTGGCTTCTCGAGACAGAAAAGACGGGCAGTTAATTCCTGCCGGGGAGGAAGCCCGAGAGGACACCACGTTCTCCTCCTCCACGTCGCGCCACGACACGCCCCACTCCCACTGTCGCATGTGCCCACCCCGCCCTTTGACTTGCCGCTCATTGGCGACACACCCGCACCCGCACGCTGCCATCGCCTCTCGGATTCCTCCTCCTCCTCCTGGCCAGCGACATGGCCGCGATAAACTACGCCGCCGATCGATCGATCCATCCATCTGCCCCCCCATGTGCATGTCACCGCTCGATCCCCTCCTCCTCCTCCTCCTCCTCGTCTTCTTCTTCGTCGATGGATTCGCCGTCTTTATAAACGAGCAGCTAGCTGGGTGCGCGAGAGAGTGTCAATGTCGATCGAATCGAATCGATCCTCCGGTGCCCAAGAGAAAGCGTGAAGCTGCCAGCATGATCTAACTTGCAGACAAGAAATCAGCTCAGCTCGCTGGTTTCGAACAGGAAGGCGGCTAGCTGAGGCTTCTTCTGAGTACGTGATGGTTAGATCATGCTGTGACAGTTTCACTCCTTCCCTGTTGGGCACACAAAGCTATGGAACACACCACGAACAGAGTCAGTACGTACCCAGCTAATATAGCCAGTGCAAGAGATCGAGGAATGCGAGAGGGAAATGCAGCTATTTTGTTGATCAGGTGCGTACGTATACCCGTCTCTCTGATAATATGATCTCAATCGACAGTGTGTTTAGATTTCTAAGAATTAATTTATATGAGTGTTATTTAGTTTGTAGGATTGTAAGCACAGGAGAATATCTACGAGTTGTAGAGAGAAGACATAAAGAAATTTTTATCCACTTAAATCTTTTGGAAAATTCATGCATGCATTTCTATTTCTATATTTTCCCTTTTTCTATGGATGGAAATTCCTTCAAACCGAATAAGTCCTAAGCTCTCTTGATATCAGCTAATTTGTATGCGTACTCGAACTAAACTTGGAACACATTCACACACACAATCCGGGTTTACCTTTCCGTTTTCGAGTAGAAAATCGCTCCTCATCGGGTTATCGAAAACCAACTGAAAACCAATAGAAGCCAACAATTTTCAATCAATGTCGTACGAAAACCAGATAAAATTGATTGGATTGGTTTTCACAAACCGACTAGTTTTCGTGAAAACTAATCGGTTTTGTGAACCCTGTGCACAATGTGACTTACTGACTGATAGAGACACAGTGCTCTTCCTCGCAACCAAACACCGATATCACAATGACAGACATTTTTGTGTGGTTTCAACTTCGAGATGTTCGATCCACATCTTTTTGTCAAACTCACATTTCCTTCTTGAATATTGGACACAAGTTTCTTCTTGGTGCGCGTCGCCCCTGCCCACTGGGCATTGCATGTCAGTGCAAGCAGAATCCAACCTTGCGCTTCCAATGGCGTCAGGAAGGCCAATTAGCCGCCGCTGTTCGCCGCCGGTGCGGCGGCGACGGCGAGCGGAGCGGCAGGAAGACGAGAGGCAATCCAAGGATTAAAATGTAAATCGATCATAATCTGTGGCAGGGGCGAGCTCCGTGAATGGCCCATGTTCCAAAAACTAGGCCCATCCAACCCAAAAGCGCTCCAAATCGTTTCCTGTGGAGGCACATTAATTAATTATTATCATGATCCATTTGCCGATTTCGTTGTGGAAGCATCGATCCAATTTCTACCTCTATGACAATTCTATGACCTCGGGGGTAACTATTATTGTCACCGATTATTATTTGGTTCATATGGGAATATCTATATCTATAACTAATATAAATATTTGGATTTTTCCGGTTGTCACATAATGCTTCCGATCAATTTTTTTCGTCCGTCGTCCGTGTTTGAATCCGAGACCGTCTTGAAATTTTTTTTTCCCGAGCGGACTCAAAAGAAGCCGAAAAAGAAAACAAATATATATCAATCGGCATTGGAGTGAAAATAAAAGAAGCCAACTCGATCAATCGGCTAATCGAGTCAATTGCTCCCAATCCCATTGCCCCTAATTCCCAAAATACATGAATAACAAAATTACTCAATTGCAATCCCAAACCAAAATAAAAAATCTCCACAAAATCAACATCCCAAATCAAACCGGCGTCGTACTGTGGTTACTATATCAACATTCCAAATCACAAAATCCTCAAAATATTCACAAATAAAAAAATCAAACCACCGTCGGCTCCACGTCGGGGAGGTGAGGGGCAGCCAGGGAGGCGGGGAGTTGCTGCCAACACCAGGGGAGGGAAGCAGCTGTCGGCCGCCACTCCGGGGAGGGGGGAGCAGCAGCCACCGGATAACTGCTAGAGGAGCCGCTGCCCTCGAATCCGCCGCAGGAGGAAGCTGCTGCCACCCGATCCACTCTCAGCCAGCGCCACCGCCACCGGATCCACACGCGGTCGCCGTCCCCGCTGTCAGATCCACCGTGGGAGGGAGGAGAGAGGGGGCAGAGGGAGCCGTCGCCGCTGGATCCGTCCTCATCCGCCGCCGGATCCACCCGCGGCCGCCGCCGACGCCGCCATCGATGCCGGATCTACCGCGGGAGGGAGGCGAGATGGAGAGGAGGAGATGGCGAGCGAGGCGAATCCATCCGTGGCTCACTCGGCCTCCCCGTCTCCGACCACTCTCTCCGCCTCAAGCTGCTCGCCTCCGAATACCACCACCGCCTCCACGTCTTCGCCCTCCAGGAGGACCTCCATGGTGATGGCATCGTGGATCTGGCCGGCAACTCGAGGGAAAAAGAAGGCCTGCGACGATGTTGTGGATAGGCCGTCGACGATGTGGTGGATCGGCCGGCAACGTTGAGGGAGAGGAATAAACGGAGAAAGTGAGGAGGGAGAGAGGCGGAGAAAGACGGGAAGAGAGAGGAAAAAAGAGGGAGCTGCAGTCTAGATATTTTTACTGGTAGTACATAGTGTACGTGCTTGAGACTTTAGATAATTACAGTCAAGTGGCATTGTGCTCTATATTGTGGTAACCACAAGATTGAATTTCGCTGAAAACAAACTATTTTTGACATACACGTACCAACTTTACAGACAAGTAATATTTTATTTTATTATTACTAGCAAAATACACGTGCTTCGTTATGGGTAAAAGAAACCGTTAAATAGTATAAAATGCAAACAATTAAAATACTTGCACGTTAATATTTGTTTGAGATAAAAATTATCGATTGTAAAAAAAATTTAAAATTTTCCACGAGACAACATATTAGAGACACTAGCGGCAATAGACACTAGTGGTGGAGCTATTGTGAGCCTCTGACTCATTTCATGCATAGGATAGGATAATTATTACTGAGATGTGCACGAGATGCGCAGCGAGGTTCTTAGTGTCAATCAAAGCGATCGCCTCAGCCGTACGACGCGGCGTCGTGCATGCCATGTCGCATATGACGGCGAGCCGCCTAGCCCGGTTAAGGAATCTCATAGCGGTGAGCGACATGTCAGGGAAAGATGGCGAGGTTGACCTGCGAGGTGGCGCCGCGGCCAAGACTGGATGGGCGGAACCCGCCCGTGCCGCGGCGGACCGCATGATGGGAGTATCTGCAGAGCTAGCTGTCCGGTGGCGGCAATAACAAGAGAGTGGGACGGCAGCGGTGGCTCCAAAGGTGGAGCACGATAGTCAGTAGGAGCAGAAGGAGTAGCATGGCTATGGCGGTGGCCGTGGCAATGATGAGGAGGTGGTGGCTGTGGTTGTTCTCAAGGATAAACTTGTCTTTTATAAAATAATAAAATAATACGTCGGGTATCAAATAACTAATTACCATGTAGGACATTGACTCACAAGTTGTAGGAAAAAAAATCCGTCGCCGATGCCGCTACCGCTGCCGTATCCGCTACAAGAGGGAGGCGAGAGGGAGAGGAGGAGATGGCGAGCGAAGCATGAGGGGGCGGAGGGAGAGGAGGGGCGGGGGAGAGTGAGAGTGAGAGAGATTTTGTGTAGGGTGGGGAGCGAGTATGGACAAGGACGGGACGCGTTTGGCTCGTCTAAGTTTTTCTGGTGTCATTTATTTTTTAAAAAAACCCAATATTTATAGTATAGGTATCAGTTTTGTTTAAAATCGGTACCTATAATTCCTGAAATGTGCTGATTCTGTATTTTTCCACCCCCCGCTTAGGTGGGAAAAGTTGTACTTGTGATGGTTTTAACTGTTTCGACACTTATAGTACCGTCATCTATATGTCTTTTTAGTGGTGTTATTAGGTATATATTTATCCTCATGCGATTTATAAATCGAAAACAATACTCCCTTAGAAAAAAACAATTACATTGGTTTCTATGATTTTTACGTGCCACGATTTAGACGTGTCATCAGTTCAAGTCCATACTTTTTTTCACATAGCAACGCACGAGATTATTTCCACAATTACATTAAAAATATAGTTTCTATATGTCGCTATTCGGACGTGTCGTCGGTTCAACTTCATGCATTTTATTCATGAGTATATTCAACAATTACATTATACATATTATAAGAAAATAAAATTTCTATGTGTCGCGATTCGGATATTGCATCAGCTCATTTCCACTCATTTTCTTCATGTAAATAGTTCAGAAGTGTCATTATCCGGTGCAACGCACGGGCATTTTGCTAGTATGTTAATATATTCAAATTACATACTCAAACACCTAATCTATTAACTTATTGGAGTAATAATTAAAAAAAAAGAGAAACATACATGTTTGCTCTCAGGGCCTAGATATTCTCATATTAATTGGAGAAAAATAAAAAAAATCATATGGAAATATAATTTAAAAATAGCTGAAATTCAGAACTTAAAAAAAAGGAATATCAGAAGAGAAGACTAGAGTCCATACGGTACACTTCCTACATTCCAAAATATAAGGCTCAACCCTTTTTTTTTCAAATATTTCATTATATAAGGTGTGCATGCATGAAAACAATTATCTAGCATGTCTTATCCACTAAATTATTGTTTTTTAAACCCTTCATTCTCAAGTTCTCTAATTCTAATGGGTGCATGCACTATATTTATTATATTTATTAGGGGTGATCCAAATGGTGAGGTGATAATAATTGTTTCTTATTCTTTGGGTTAAGGATGATTGTGCCTTATATTTTGGAATTGAGGGAGTACAATTTAGAGCTAATTGAAATTGAGAATTTAAAAAAAGAGAAAAATTAAAAGTAGAGGTTAGAGTTCATATAGAAATACAATTTAAAAATAGCTAAAATTCGAAATTAAAATATAAGGAATACTTGAAGAAGAGTATAGAATCCATATAGGAATACAATCTAGAAATAACTGAATTCGGAATTAAAAATAAGAAATATTAAAAGATGAGTTTAGAGTCCATATAAAATATAATTAGAAACAATAGAAATTTAGAATTAAAAAATTATTGGAAGAAGAGCATAGAGTCCATGTAGAAATTTAGAACTAACTGAAAGTTGAATTAAAAAAAAGAATATTAAAATAGAGTTTGGAGTACATATTTTAAATACAATTAAAATAAACTAAAATTAAAAATTAAAAAATAAGAAATATTGGGAGAAGAGTCTAGATTCCTTACAAGAATACAATTTTTTAAAAAATTAAAATCGAAATAAAAATAAGGAATATTGCAAGAAGTGTCTAGAGTCCATATAGAAGTACAATTTAGAAATAATTAAAATTTGGAATTTCAAAATAACAATATTGAAAGAAGAGTGTAGAGTCCATATAGAAATATAATTTACAAATAACAGAAATTTAGAGTTAAAAAAATAGGGAATATTGTAAGAGAAGTATAGAGTCCATATGTGAATACAATTTAGAAATAACTAAGATTCGATATTTAAAAATAAGTTATATTGAAAGGAGGTTTAGAGTCCACATATAAATATAATTTATAAATAACGGAACTTCAAAATTAAAAAACAAGGAATATTGGAAGATGGGTCTAAGTCCATATAGGAATACAATTTAGAAATAACTAAAATTAGGTATTAAAAACTAATTGATAATTATCATGTATATACAATACAATATGCATATTACATATTTGTTATTTTGGTCAACTTAGTATAGAATCTAAATTATATTACCATTTTAATATATTTTAATAATAAAATATGAAAATAAATATGTTATTATGTAAAAAAAAACAATGCTAGCCACAAAACCTGCTCAGGTCACCATGCTAGTTGTAGTAATAGTAGTGGAAACATACAAAGGGCGGCTAAGGTTGAAGCACTATGGCTAGCTTGGCTAGGGCTGAAGCCCTATGTATAGCGCTACAATCTTCAATATAATTTTATAAAGTGCCATGTAATTTGTGAAAAAAAGTTACGTTCTTATTAGTTTAGCATTATAGGTGAAAGTTTTATCATGGCTCACCACTGAGTGGGGACGAATATATGTTGTTCACATCTGATAGTAATAGTTGGTGGTGTATATCTATCTTTGTCCTTATACCACGCATATCACATTGTACACTAACAGCTCAATTGTCACCTTGCTGATGGGACACAGCGAATTGATCGTTGTATTTATAGTGTATTTATAGTGTGTAAGATCAAATTGATTTTGTGGTTATACATATATAGCTCCCTTCTGCCAGCACATGCCGTACCATGCATATTAGTATTATGACAAACCCACCTTGATGGCTAGAAAACCTCAACTAATAAATGTACATATGTAACTTTTGTAATTATCTTTTTAATATACGTTGTAGGATGCTCTCCTACAATAGGGATGGAAACGGATCGGAAACGGACGGAAACTAACTTTATCATGTTTTTAAGATTTTTTTTACATGTTCTTCTTTGAAAAAACTGTTTTTATGTGGCATATGAAAGAGGAATCACGATAACTTGAACGGAAAATAATTATTGTGTAGCATACTAAGGATAATTTAAATAAAAGAGCATCAATACAAGGGTATTCTATTAGCATATGAAACATAAATTATACTTTTTTTAGAAAAATAAATACATCCAAAATGTAAATATAAAGTAGGATATGTAAAATATTTTATATTTTTCAATACTTCTATTGGTCAATCAATTATCATCCATCGTAGGTTTTAAAGGGCATTTTAGGTCTTTTTTAGAAAAGTGTCCACCCTAACGGTATATTATAAAAAAAATCAACCATGTATTATAAAGAGAGACAAATTCTATGATAAATTTTTGAACTAGAGTAAACTCATTGATATACTCCCTCCGATCCGTCTAAAAAAAGTCTAATTCTAAAGATGAATCTGAACACAGGGATATAATAGATTCTCCCGAAAATTACATCAACAGAATTACAGTGGATCCGTACGGAATTATAGCTGTTCTAGGATTAATCCATTGCAGCGGAAAGCTAAATTAATGATGGGTACAATGAACAGTTCTTACATTCTGCCCTTGTTTGAAGCTGTTTACCGGTAGTGTATTCCCTGCTGTCGAGCCACACGTTGTTGACGCCATTAGCATCTAGCTAAGCGACACGTACTATTGTAAGAGCGAATAGTACTGTAGAAGTCTTAATACTTATCCCGAAATACCACGTAAGCTCATATATGATAATATGATGAGAAGAGAAGAAAGAAAGGATTGTGAACCACCTCTCATACAAGAGATAACCTTCACATTTAAAACTTTTAAGAAAAAAAAATTAAGTGTGGATCGAACAAACAAATTAAAATAAAAATATTGAATTCAGTGAGCTAGAGTACATCAGATTAGAAGTGGTGATTAGCTCTTCTGTAAAACTTGCTCTTAGTGTAGCTAGGACTAGCATAAGTACAGTTGGTCCTTTTCACCACTAAACAATGTTAATTACAGCTAAAAAAATTACTATATCTACTTAAATGAACACGCCCATAGAGATTATGATGAGGAAAGGAACAAAAGCAGAGACTTGACACTTGTATATATTATATTGTTCTTGCCACTCTAAAAGCCGCCAATAATTCAAACAACTATATGGGATTCTCTGCGGCTAAAACTATGACACACCTTATAGGATTATTTGGGGTCGCAAACCTTCTGTATAAATTTCACGTATAAAGCAGACGTGAACATTCGGGAGCCTTTTGTTCCCTCGGAAAAAAAAACATTCGGGATCTTTTTGGCTGCGTTTGTTCGGGAGGGTTAGAAAATGAAAACGGTTCCTTTTCAGCCCGTAAAACAAAGCAATGAATTAGCATATGATTAATTAAATATTAGCTAAAATAAATTAAAACTAGATCAATATGATTTTTCTTTTTAAGAAACCTTTCCATATAATTTAGAAAAACACACACCATTTATTACACCATTTATTAGTTTGAGAAACGTATGTGAAAAATAAGAAGATATAATGAATACAACCTTAGCTTCTACTCCCTCCCCTCTATCCCAAATAAGTTTATTTTTCACTCATCCCAAACTATGAATACAGAGATAAATAAGACTATAAACCTCTATTTTATTAAATCACAATACAATTATTCTCCACTTTATCTACTCCCAACACAATTATTCTTTACTTTCATAAACTTCGATGCAATGATTAAAAAAGCTTAACTTATTTTAGGAATAAATAAGTAGAGCCAAAAATAAACTTATTATAAGATGGAGAGAGTAGAGATTTCCTGGACCACTTGAGCTATAATTTTTGTAGATGGAAATCAAAATTAAGGGGCTCGGATGAATACCGTGGGCCTTTTGATTTGATGATCATTGATAATATGAGCCCCAGGTACGTAGATGCAAATTAAGTAAGATATCAATATCATCACCGTGTTCCACACTCCTGTATAAAATTGGAGATGTGTCCTTTTATTAGTTAATTAAATGAACAGAGTAAAATTTCTCGATATAATCACAATATCACGCTCACGCACTGTTTTAAAGTTATTGCAGGGACCAACAAGGATGGTTACTGACCGGAAGACTATGAATTCATGTGCAAAATTCAAAAAACTGTACCCGAAACTCAAATATGTTTTTTTACCAGTTGGCAACAGGCCGATTGGTTATCGGACAAAAAAAATCTTTTTGGTTCTGAACTTTTGCCTGATAAAATCATTTCATAGGATTTCACCATTGGCATTTGTCGATGGGCTGCACCCATCTAGGATATTTGAGTATGGGGATCGTTGAAATCTGGGTATACGTGAGATTGAGATAAAGAGACGGGAGATAGATTTTTATATAGGTTAGGCCCCTTAATTGACAGGTAATAACCCTACTCGGCTACTCCTATTGGCCGAAGCTGGTGTTGTCTTTATATATCAGTATCATATGAGTACAATATTTGCGATAAACTAATCTAGTCTTTGTCGGCTTGGCGGCATGGAGCTTTCACACGTAGTCGATAGCTAGTATAGTCTTCTTACTCGAATATAATTTTGGTCATGTTAGTCTTTGTGGCTCCACGTTGGGTTTGTGTAGATCTATATTGGCTTGTCTTATGTTGGCCTACCCCTCTCCTCCTAGGAGTTCTTGTATATATTTATAGTGATGATCGTCTTCCTCCCCAAGTATAACTCAAAAACTTAGGATAAGATATGGATTAAAGAGATATTATGTTTCCTGACTAGAAGTCTGACATCTTCTATTTTGGAAAGATAACTTCCTTCTAGATATGTAGTACTATTTCCCTAATCAAAGGATACATTCTTGTATATCTCATTAGGTATATGGTATTTTCGTATACTATAAACCCATGTATAGTAGGTATGTCTTATCCTTAACACTGACAAAATTACATTAATTTTGAAGATAGCGGCATTATAATTTCAACAACATCTGATTATAGCATTGCCAACCCAACAACATTGCACTCATACATTAGTGTGAAATTATTGACACAATATTTTGGATATGGCGGCATTATAATCCTGGTAAGCTTCAACGAACATTATATTATCACATTGCCATCAAAAACAGCAATACAGCATCACACTCATAAACACTGTTGTAATATATGTTAATGTGACAATCTCGCCACATTTATCACACGCATCACACTCATATACATTTTAGCACCACTTACATTGGCGCTAAGATATTGTCCGATGTGGCAAGATTGTGACAATGTGATATCGGTGAGATAATATAATGTGCTTCAGCGAACATTTGCAGGTATGGGTGTATATATGGGCCCAGAAAGCCAGGCAAGGACCAACAAAGGGTGGTTATTGGTTACCCACATGAATGCTATGGATTCATTTGAAAATTTCAAAATGTATATCTCAAACTCAAATGTGGATTTTGTTTTTTCATCCGATAACTAGCAGGCTACCGGTAATAAAAAAATCATCAATTACTATCATTTTAATATGATTTCACCAAAGGCCGTAATTTTGGAAATAGTAGAATTACGGTCATGGGAAGCTTCAACTTCAGTATGAAATATTTATCAAAAGGAACTGATAAGAATATACTTGAATAAATATTTATCTCCTGTTGGAGTTATTAGTTTTTGCATCGTCAATTTTTAGATTTTACGTGCTCTCTATTAAGCGAATTACGTAATAAATGATTGTAAAATTAAAGGCCATACTTCATTCCGTTATCGATGAGAAGCCAGCGAAGGCGGTTTATTTAGTACCTTTACTTGGTAAAGCATGAGAGGTGTGCCATCTTTTGCCGAAAGTGAAGAACTCGAGCGCTTGCGAGCTTTTATTTTAGACATTTTTAATAAATAATTTTATTAATAGATATCCCAAGAACTTATTTCTAAAATGAACCATTTTGCCACGCCACTGGAACTGGCGTGGCCAAACTACTATGCCACTCTAGGACAGGTGGCGTGGTAACAAATGCCCCGTGACGATCATTGCCTTTGGCAAGGTCAAGCGGGTGCTGACGTGGCAGGGGGCTGAGGCTGGGCTTGCCACGCCAGGCTTGGTGGCGTAATACCGCCATGCCATCCCGCCTAGCATGGCTAGGGAATAGCCGCCGATGTCGTCCCTTTCTGCCTTCTTCCTCTCTTCTTCTCCTCTCCGTTGCTCTCTCTCTCTCTCTCCCCGCATGAAGCAACCAATGCCCCCTCCTCAAATCCCTCGAAATCCATTCAAAATCCGATATTCTTACTCCGATTTTAAGCCCTTTTGAGTAGGAGCCCATCCCATAGGTATATTTCCTTTTTTAGGTTTTTTCTCGTGTTTGCATTTAGTTATTTCCATCCTTCTAAATTGCAGTGAAAACATGTAACAAGGAATCGAATATACTTGAACCATTCATATCTTCAACACATAAATCAAGTCCATCAAAACCATTCTAAAATGGATTCATCCAAACCATTCATTACTATGTAGTTTTCTAATAATACCATAGATATTTTATCCGATCTTTATCCGTTTAGTACCAATTTTCTAAATACAAACTTGTTATATTCATCATAAACCACAATAGTCATGAAATTAATAAAACAATAATCCTAACACATGAAATTTTCTTATCGAACACTTGAAATTATTTCTTAAAAGGCATGAAATAAATAGGGCTAGCTGCATTGTCAAGCCAATGAGCCGGACATTTCAGCTGCCACGCCATGGACCCTGACGTGGCAATAAGTTCTACGTTGGCGCTGCTTGACTTTGTCCACGCCAACTACTGCCATGGGGCACCTTTGCCACGTTAAGACCGATGGCATGACAGAGTAATTTGGCCATGCAGGTTATACTGGTGTGAAAAAAAAGGTTTATTTTTAAAAATAAGTTCATATGAAGTCTATTATTAAAATTATTTATTAAAAAGTAAAAAAAAAACACATACACACGCCCTAGCTCACTCCAGCTGATCCAAAATACTACTCCACCCAAACAAACCAAAAAAAAAACTCAAGTTCGCAGAAGATCCAAACCTTAAACATGACACACAAGTTCATACGCCTGCTTGGCAGTAGACCAGTCCAAATCCAACCCTGTCCCCCAAATTAACAAACCCCAGAAATGCCCCCAAAAGACAACAAAGCACTCACCACCCCCCCAACCCTAATCAGCATTTGATTTTGATCCATCCTCATCAACCCCCACTATTAATCCTCTTCCCCTTCCCCCCGCTCTCCGTCCATGTTCACCCCGCCCCCATGCCCCGCAATCCCATCCAGGTTCATCCGCCTCCCGTCTTCTTTTTTTTTAATTCATCCGCAACCACTGCGAACTTGCGAAGGCCGCGGGTACAAGAAAAGAAGAGAAAAATAAAAAGGAGCCGCATTATAAGTAGGTAGTGGTGGTGGTGGAGGAGGAGGAGAGCAAATCGAGGTAGCCATGGCGATGCAGGCCGCCTTCGCCGCCTCGATGTTCCCGCAGCTGGCGCAGCGGAGGGGAAGCGATCGCGCGGTGGTGGTGGCGCCGCCGGCGCCGGCGCCGGTGAGGGTGGCGATGAGGAGCGGTGGGGCGGCGGCGGCGGCGGCGAGAGGGGTGAGGTGCAGGGCGAGCCTGATCGAGCCCGACGGGGGGAGGCTGGTGGAGCTGGTGGTGCCGGAGGAGGGAGGGCGGCGGGAGGCGGCGCGGCGGGAGGCGGCGGCGCTGGCGCACCGGGTGAGGCTGGGGCGGGTGGAGACGGAGTGGCTGCACGTGCTGAGCGAAGGGTGGGCGAGCCCGCTGCGAGGGTTCATGCGCGAGGCCGAGTTCCTCCAAGCACTTCATTTCAACGCCATCCGCGGCGGAGACGGGGCCATGGTCAACATGTCCGTGCCCATCGTCCTCCCCCTCGGTGACGCCCAGCGCCGCGCCATCGAGGCGTCCGGCGCCCGCCGCGTCGCGCTCGTCGACGCCGCCGACCGCCCCCTCGCCGTCCTCAGCGAGTGAGACATCCCCCCTACCCCACCTCTTCTTGTTTCCCTTGTTTAGTTAGTTGCATTTCCCTGTTCAGACGCTTAATTGCAATTATTTGGTTACTAGGAGTGCTTGCTAGAAGAGTAAAATTACTAATTACATGAGTGGATGGAATGTAGATATATTGATTGTTCGTGTTGGTTGGTTGATTCTCACAGTTGTGGGATGCCTTTGGACCTCCAAAAGCCGTAATTTTTGTGCTTGGGTTGGAAATTGGAATTGTGGGGGTTGTAGCCTGAATGGTTCAGAGAAGTTCATAGGTGGTTTCTTCAATTGGAAACATAATATGCAGAAATACAGATTATGAGTGTTTCTGTGCAGTTCCCACATTTCGTGAGCTTATCCCTCACAAACTTGTGCTCTGGTTATATTTTAGACTTTAATGCTAGTAAACAATTTGTTTCACAGCAACCTGGTCAATGATATATCATTCATGGCGGAGGTTTTATCTTGGGCGTTAAACTAATTTTAAGGTTGTGGCATTCCTCTTTTGTCGATTAGACTACAATATCGTCATGCGGATAACCTTTGTCATGCTATATCAGGAACTCAGGACATCTTTATACATCTCGGTCGTTTTCAGGTCATATTTTTTTGAGTCGTATATATATAATACGATGATCGGTAATACCATTGGTAGTCCTTATAAATACATGTTCCGTAGTTCTTTTGCCGTGTTCTCTAGGTATTTTAGTTTTATCTATATTAAACTGACAAGTGATATTATATTTGTTTCGTTGTTTTTTCGCCGCGTTCTATGGGTATTTTAGTTTAAGCAACTGACACATGATATGATTTACATCAGAAAGATTATTTTTTATTCACCATTTGTTTATAAGGTTTTGTACACATCCAGCTATTGTAAGATGTTGTTATAGAGGTGACGTAACAACGTCAACCGTTTACATCTGTGTCTAGGAACTCCTCAAGTCATGTGTGTTCAAAACAATCCGACTTGATTTAGCATGGTTTTAGTTCTTTTTAATTAGTTATACCATGGCATTCCCTGACATATTTTTCTTCTTTGTTGTCAGCATTGAGATCTACAAGCATAACAAAGAAGAAAGGATTGCACGGACATGGGGAACAACTGCACCTGGGCTGCCTTATGTTGATGAGGCGATTACAAATGCTGGTGATTGGTTAATTGGTGGTGACTTGGAGGTTATAGAACCAATCAAGTACAATGATGGTCTTGATCAGTATCGCTTGTCTCCAGCCCAGCTGCGTGAAGAGTTTGCCAGACGCAATGCTGATGCGGTATTCGCGTTTCAGCTTCGCAATCCTGTACACAATGGACATGCTTTGCTCATGACTGATACACGCAAACGCCTTCTTGAGATGGGTTACAAAAATCCTGTTCTTCTGCTTCATCCATTGGGAGGATTCACAAAAGCAGATGATGTGCCTCTTAGTTGGAGAATGAAGCAGCATGAAAAGGTACGCTTTAAGAGTAGCAATCGTACTGTCAAATCTTTTTAGCAAATGCATGTTGGTGCCTTGTTGTTGATGAAACCATTTGATTTAATTACACTACTGTAAGGCCCAATTCATGCACAATTTTGATGCGTGTTTATTTTGGTAGGTTCTTGAGGAAGGTGTCCTCAACCCAGAATCAACTGTCGTTGCAATCTTCCCCTCTCCAATGCATTATGCAGGGCCAACTGAAGTGCAATGGCATGCTAAGGCTCGTATAAATGCTGGTGCAAACTTCTACATAGTTGGAAGAGATCCTGCTGGTATGGGCCACCCAACTGAAAAGAGGGACCTGTATGATGCTGATCATGGGAAAAAGGTGTTGAGCATGGCTCCTGGGCTTGAGAAGCTCAATATCCTTCCTTTCAAGGTATGTCATCCTACCAGACCAGATATCACATTTTTTGGATGCACTAGATTGTGTAGTTCGCTAGCTTACTGTCCATCTTGTACATTTGAATTTGGATGTCAAGCAACATATTTTAGTTTTCAGATAAACCTTGTTGTATTCTTTTTCTTGGCATGACTCCTGATTTGTTTTATCAGGTGGCTGCATATGACACAAAGCAAAAGAAAATGGACTTTTTCGATCCATCAAGGAAAGATGATTTCCTGTTCATCTCTGGCACAAAGGTAACATCCATTTCAATCCTGTTTTGGTACACCAGTTAATTTTGAGCACCAATGTTTTTTTCCAGCCCAGTCCTAACAACATTGCCTGTGTTATATAGATGCGTACTCTTGCCAAGAACTGCCAGAGCCCCCCTGACGGATTCATGTGCCCGGGTGGCTGGAAGGTCCTTGTTGAATACTACGACAGCTTGACGCCATCAGCGGACAGCAGCAAACTGCGCGAGGCGGTTGCGGCCTAGAAAGCTGAAACTACCTCAAATAAGCAAGAACATTGCATCTTGCAACTGTAAAATGGTTCTTTCAGAGAGAGAACCAATGGTATATGTGTATACTACTGGTCGCAAGGCCTAAACATTTGGGTTTGATTGGAAGCGCATTCTGGTGTGATTTGTATGTGCCCTATCATCTGGTAATGCTACATTGGAAGCTCATCATGTTGTTGGTGTTAATAAGGATGAGCCTTTGTGTGCTCTGCTAGATATGTACATATACAATGTGGTGGTATTTATATAGTGCTTGGTGTGTTTGCTATTATAGAAGAGCAGGTTTCATCTTCTATTGTCGCATCTGGTCATTGGACAGGGCTCGAGGACATGAGGGATGGTCAGCAATATTTTTGTTAACACTGGAATCTCATCAAGGTTTCTGTATGGTATGGGCAATTGCTTTAGGCTAGAGTGAACTTCATATTCTGGGGCAACGATTATTTTCAGAGACAGAATCAGGGGCAGAATAATTATTGACAATTACTTATAGGAGAGAATTAGATATTATTATGAAGTAAAAATAGTTTGAAAAAAGTTATCTAAACAATGCTAATAAAAAAAGCTTTTAACATAGTCTCGGAAGAATGGCATGAATAATTCGGTTGATAGTCTGCCTCCGAAAGCGTTGACGTATAAAGAATGGGGAATCTGAAGTTCTGAACCCTTCCCCTAATCTGAATTCTGCATTTGTATAATACGAGTAGCAAACTCTAATAAATCTACGTCTCCTGAATGCCCTTGAGGAGTTTGAATATACACACAAACTTCAGCCTCTATGATTTGATCATTTGATGTTGAAAGCTCTGTTGACAACGAGCTAATCATGCCGGTGCACCTACAGATTTTGTGTCGATCTACCAACGCTTATTCAAATGAACTTGTGTCGATCTACCAACGCTTATTCAAATGAACTGGTGGTATATCGCCACCATCTTGTATCAACCTAAACAAGAGTAGGAGCAGCAACAAGAAGCCACGCAAAGAACTTGTTGCTTGTAATATTTCGCTTGCATCGTTCATTTACACTGAAAAGCAGGTAAAGATAGGCCCGGCGAAAAGCAGGTAAAGATACACAAAGTGTATATACATACAGAAAAGGGAAAGCCGTGGAGATATTTGAGTCGAACGCTATCTAACAATTGCAACGTACCAAGAATCCAGTTTCCATCTCAAGAAATGAACAAGTTCCATAGAATACCTGGGGACAAAGCTATCTCCATCTCGATTCTCGAAGATCAATCCCCTCCAGCATCCTTGACATCGACGGCGAACTCGTACTCCTGGTCGCAGCCCAGATAGGAATCAGACATCAAGTAAACCATGTAATCTTTTCTCCCTGCTTCTGCAGGGGCAGCGAACTCGAGCTTCACTCGAGCCCTCTTCTGGAGCTTGACCCTCTTGATTGCCAGCAACTGGTCGGTGGAGCGATCACCAATCACCAGCCACCATCCTTCTTCCTTGGGCTTTGGGAACCTGGGGGCATGGACTGGACCAGCCTCAGATTGCAGCAGGTCTGCCATCTCGCGCTCTAGCGTCACCTGCACGGTCACACTGCCACCATCGCCTTCAAGAACTTGGAAAGCCATGTCGATGTTTGGGAACCGCCTGAGGAATCCGACGATGTCCTGCAGCTGGGAGCTTGGTAGCTGCAGCAGATCCTGCATCTCATGCGTGCTCATCTCAGCCAGATCGAAGATGGTCTCGATGGCCTTGCCTTCGTTCTCCTGGCATCTCCGGGCTAACTCCTCGGTGAAGTGTGGAAGCTGAAGCAGCACGGAATCGCGATCCCACATGCCCTGTGTCACCATCTGGCTCAGCTCCATTGCGTTGAGAGCGAGGGTGAGCCATCCGTTGCTGGAGATGACATCGATCAGTGCCTGGAGCAATCTATGAGCAGGAAGGAGAATCTCCCGCTGGTCAGCTGCAAGGTCACCTTCCACCGTGCGCCTTGAGAAATGGCATTGCAGCAGTGCGTTGGCCTTGACATGTGGATCGTCATACCTGACTTTCTTCTCGACAGAAAATCTCTGGTGATGAACAAGCCTCTCAATGGATTTTTGCTCACCAGGGCGACTGGGGAGATCTGCATATTCTGAGGCAGAAGCTAGAATCTCCAGGAGGCCTTTCAACTTGGTCTTCTGAGTTAGCATAGAACTGAATCGCTCAATAGTCGTGTAGGTGACGTAGTAATACGAGGCAATGAGACCAAGGTTGAGGGTCTTCAGGTAAATATTTTCCTCGATAGCCAAACAATTGGTTGATTCCAGGTCGTTCAGCACTGTCTCAACCAGCTCAGAGAGATGTTCTGATACATGCCTGTGGCTCACATCCTGCAGATTGTAGTAGTTAGGGTTCTTCGCAAGCCGTCGGTACATGAAGGTCCAAGTAAGATAATCCACGGCATCTTGCTTGTTTTCTATAAGACCAGCTACCACCTCGGCATTCATATGATCATGCAAGAAGTGCTGGAGATGGCTCTCAACAGGGAAGGCCTCAAAAAGGAACTTCTTGTAGTATTCCTTGCGAGGCGCATAGCACAATATAACACATTTCCCAGAGTCATCTTGAAGAGGCCTGTTGGCATGGCCCATCATTTGCAACAGATCAGTGACTGGATAATCAGTATGGCTGTTCCCCCGGCCATCATAATACTGGGTTCCCATCACAACAACCAGATGAGAGGGCAATGATCTTCCCCAGCACATTTTGCTGCTTGCAACACACACTTGGATCCTCCCACCAAGAAAGAGCTGAGTTACAAGTTCCTGATCGAAGTCGCTCAGGCCCTCATGCAAGTAGCCTACACCACATTTCAGAGTGTATTTAAGTGCTTCATCATTGACACCACTAGTGAAAGTATCCATCTCGTCTTCTGACCCAAGAAGGAAAGGTGTTCCACCACTCTCAGCACTTGAGTGTGCACACAAATCCACTGCGGTCAACCTTGCATGCTTATGTGTTGGTACAAACACCAGGGCAGGCTTACCATGCTTTGCATGCTGGGTTATAGCAGTGTATGTTGGCTTTGACATTGCCTGCATCCTTGCCTCAAAAATTGCTACATCCCAACCCTGAATGTGAATTTCTAACGGCAGTGGTCGCACTGCTGGAGGGAAGTTGAAAAGGCTATGAGAGGAGGTGCCAATCCATTCTCCAAGATCTTTACCATTTGCAAGGGATGCTGAAAGCGCTACAATCCGAATGTTACTACCAATATGATTCGCCATATGCCTCATCCTAGAGATGATGATTTCCAGAATATGCCCATTTTCAGATCCAATCAGATGGAGCTCGTCAAAAATAAATAAACTGACCTGTTGCACATTCTTTCGCTGTTTCCATCGGCGTGAGAGTGCATCCCACTTCTCAGCAGTACTGATTATAATCTCCCCTTTATCAAGAAGCTTCAAATCAGCTGCTGTTTCGCCTGTTAGCTCAACTACCCGCGCCAATTCTCCAAATTTGCTCTCCCAATCCTTATATCTTTCTTTTGCAAGAGCTTCAATAGGAGCTACATACACAACACGCATGTTGCTGTCACCAGATACAGCCTTCTGATGGTTTCTTAGAATAGCAAACTCTGCACATATGGTCTTTCCACTGCCTGTTGGCGCCGCAACCAACACGCTGTCATCACTGTTGTACGAGGCAGTGAACACTTGAGTCTGGATGGGGTTGAAATGTTTAAAAGCACAGTAAAGGCTTTCATATCGTGCATTTCTCAGGGCAGTAACAGGTAGTGGCTGCAGATCAATCAATTCAGTTGGTGGAGCATATTTTTCTGGAAGAGTTAAATGCCTAAAACTGACAGGAAGAATTGTCTGAGAACCAAGCCACTTATCAGATACTACGCGTATAAAGTACTGAGGGGGCAGTGGCTCATATATTGGCACTGTGAAGTTAAGTGTATGATCTTCATCCACGTATTGTTTCTTAAGCATGAAGTACTCATGGTGAAGAATGTTATCGCCACCGTTGTCCTCAACAATAAGCCAGAAGGGCTCCACATATCCATGCAATTCATCATCCCATTGGAAATCAGCTGTTATAGTCAGTTCAAAACCCAAAACCGTAGGAGTAATAGGTTGAACATGGGCTGAAAGGTTCAGCTTTGGTAATTGGTGGATGCACTTGTGCAGCTGCATCCCCATCTTCGGGTTACGAATTAGCTCACCAATTTCCTGTGATGATAGGTCAAAGTACCTCTCCCAAGCCAATTCTTTTTTCTCCAGTTTCATTAAGATTTCCTTTGGAATACTTGGAAACTGGTGCAGGGGAATTTGGACGTTCCATATATGCTTATCAATCATCTTGCAAAGATTCAACGCTTTCTCCGCTAGTTGGGCCCATCCTCTCTTCAAAACTATCTCAAACAGCGCTCGTAGGAGACGGCCAGCATTCTGCATCATAAAGTAGAAAATGCTACGTAAGATTAATAGACCAAATAAGCATACCATAATTCAGGAAGTGCATTCAGCAGAGATAACACGTTTTTACCTGTCTGATGTAGACCATATCTGAACTAAGGGAAAGACCCTCCAGTTCCAGCCTAGAAATATATGCTTGCAGTAGAACATTGATCTTTGCACTGGGCTCGTCCAAGCTCTCTTTCACAGGAATAGGCACACAATTGAAAAGCTTTGCCAACTCCATTTTCTCATCCTGTCTAACACTGACATACTTAAATTCTTCACTCAGTGAAAAGAGTCGACACAGCTCAATATCACCCATTGTAGGCTTCAGGCACTCATTGTATGTTGAGATAGTCCTGTGACTAACATAGTAATAACTAGCAATCCTTCCCAGGTCAGTTACCTGAAAATATCCTGTTTTCCTGTCATACTTTATCAAATTGTTCCAATCCAGTATATTTGCAGCAGCGTGTACCTGCAACAGCACATACAGGAATCAGAGTGTGCCGGGCAGGGAACAGAAGGGGTGAGACAAACATATTAAACATGGAATGATGAAAAATCAAGGCAGCATCTATATAAACACTAACAATACAATGATAGATCATGATACTTCTTCAAAATCTTGTGACAGTAGTTATTACAAAATGATGACATGCAATGAAGCAAGACAACGGAAATCATCAGACAAATAGCTCTGAATCTTTTTTCTCCCTTTTATAAAATAATTGATTATCTGATAGGATTTCAATTCTTCTTCCTTATTCTACGTAACTGTATAGATAATTCAAATCAAATGTCCCACGCAATAATTTCAGATGATATCTGGATTGCAGCAAATAGTCTGTTCTGATTTTGTATATATTATTTTACATGATAAGTAATAACACAATGTTTTATATTCATAGGAAGTACATGTGCTACATTTTACATGTACCACAGTTACATGTGCTACATTTTCATAAAATGCTATATATATACATTACTCCCTCCGTCCCATAATATAACAATCTAGTACCGGATGTGACACTTCATAGTACAATGAATCTGGACATGTTTCCTATCCAGATTCGTTGTACCATGAAATGTCCAATCCGGTCCTAGGTTTCTATATTATGGGACAGAGGGAGTATGTATTAACAATGAAGAGACATGAACATGAATAGTTTGTTTCCTGTTACTATTATTATACTAAGAAAGCAAGCACTAATGTAAGGAGCAAGCAGCATAGATTTATACTTCCTTTCTAGATGTATTTGCTGTCTTTTTTAAATGAACCTCGCAATATTTTGTATGGTTCGTTTAAAAAAGACAGCCAGCACATCTGGAATGGAAGTATAAATCTATGCTGCAAATAAGCAGGTAAACAAAAATATCCAAGAGCACTGTACACTATCCATTCTAGATTCCAACATGCAAGTATGATGCAAGTGGTGAAGTGGAGGAATTCATTCCAGGTTTCTTCACTACCTCATAAACATCAAAGGACTGCCCTATTGCAGTTTATGACCGCCTAGTCAATACTGAACAGTGATCATCTCAGTAAATGCTAAGAAAAAAATTTTACGAGAAATATTTATGCTCACGCAATTCCTGAACATTCAGAAAGCCTAAGAAAAAACTTGGACAGTTCATACCACAATGGACCTAAGAGAGCATAGTGGGATTGTGGAAATGCAAGCATAAAGTGTGAACAAATATTGGAAAGTAAAACACCAGAATGAAAGGACTAATATAAAAGAACCTAAAAAAAGGATAGGACATAAGTTTTTACTTACCAAGTCAACTCTCCTTTCATCTAGAGTATTGTCTGTTTCCATAATATCTGCTGGTAAACCGTACAACGTTGGATTCCGGAGCATCCTGATGTAGAGGTAGGTGTAGCCAAGCCAGGTGCATGCCTCCCGAACATTCTGAATAGTCCCCAGAACGATCTCAGCATTCAGATGATCAGCCAATCTGGATATGAACTGACTCTCAATAGGCAGTTGCTGATTCATCAGAGACAGGTAGTACTGCAATTCACTTTGTTCAGTTAGTATTATTCCCTCTCCATGTGTATCATACTGAGGTCTGCCCGCGCGACCAAGCATCTGCATGACATCCAGAGGGCTCAGTTCTGTCCAAGCACCTTTTTCCGGATTGTAAACCTGGGTACCCTTTATTATTACAGTGTGCGCAGGCAAATTGACACCCCATGCAAGGGTCGCTGTCGAAACGAGCGCCTGTAAATGTTTATCAGCAAAAAGCCCCTCAATGAGCTCACGGTCTACCCTTGTCAACCCAGCATGATGAATACCAAACCCATACGGCAAAAGATCTTTAAGATCATTGCTTTTCACATGATTTGCATGATCGGCAAGAATCTCTAGGCTCGCGCTCTCAACCTTTGGAAAGCAGGTCAGTTTGTTATTAGATAATGCAATATCTTTGATGGCACGAGCAGTTTTGGCTGTCTCCTTCCTCGAGTGCACAAATATAAGCACTTGATGCTTTCCAGCAGCAGCCATAACCTTCTCATAGCAAATCTGATTCATCAACTGAAACCTCTGGAAGGGCTTCTTCACAGTGATCCCAATGTATTGTTGAGCAAGAGGGCAAGGTCGGTAGCTGTTATCAAAATGGAAGAGACCACCAGAGTGAACACGCAAGAAAACTGCAACATCTTGATAGTTTGGAAGAGTTGCTGAGAGACCAACTAGACGGATATGTTCCTTGGTTGTTTCAGTCTGCCTGACTGATCTAAACAATGCTCTCCAGAACAGGCCCTCTGTTGTCATGAAGTAGATGAATCTCATCAATTATTAGAAGCTTCACCATTTGAGTATAGATTCTGTCACCTGATTTTCTTGTGACAATATCCCATTTCTCAGGTGTAGTGACAATAATCTGTGTTTCATCAATCTGTTGTTTGGTTAAGTTCTGGTCTCCACTGAGTTCCCTTACAGTGATATTGTACTCTTTCAGCCGTGCTGACAAATTTCCAACAACTTCAGCAACCAAAGCTTTCATTGGGGCTACATACACAATTTTGTATTTGGTATTGTCAAACTCTCCATCTTTCATGTGCAAGCCAATCTGCTGAAGGATTGTAAGCACAGCCACGTTGGTTTTCCCAGCACCTGTTGGTGCACAGAGAATAATATTATCTGGTTTGAAAAGGGCAGTATCATAAACCTTGCTTTGAATCCTATTCAGCTGTGTCATCCCAGCAAAAGCTGGTTGAGCCCAGTCTGGCATATCAGATATCTTGACAACCTTCTCTCCATTTTCATATGGCTTAGCTTTCAGTGCTGGCACATGGACTTCCTCATACCCGTTATGAGGGGTTCTAAATGATCCTGGTGGAAGTTCACATTTCTTGTTAACCATCAAGAGACCACCTTGGTGGAAGGTTAGGTTCTCAAGATCAAGCAGCTGCTTCTGGCCTTTCAACCATCCACTCTCCATATCCCGCTTAACTACCCTTTGATCCCTCGCACCATTAATGCCAGCATTTTGTTTTTCGGTAAGCCTCTTGGCCTCATCCCTGATGCTTTTCTCCATATTCTTCAGCCTATCTTTTGCAGACACCCTCGTTGCATGCAGCTGCTCCAATATTGGACTTAATGTTGGGTCACTCAGCATATTCTCTTCTATCATCTTCCGCTTTTCCTGACCTTCAGCCCTTGCCAAACAAGTACACCAGAATATCTTGAGTCGGTTCCGCACCAGCAATTTGATGAAATCAAAATTGTCATAGCCCAATAGCGTGACAAGCCGATTCTCAACATCCTTGTCGTCACTCTCAGAAAGAAAACTCATGATCTCCAAAGAAAGCTCCTGGCTAACCTGCGGATCAATATCTTCATATGCCTGTGATACCTTCCTCTGAAGCCAGTAAGCATCAATGTCTTGTGCGTTTATGGCCAGCTCCTCATTGGAGTTATGCATATCATCATCGTCTAACTCATCACCAATTTGCATGGCACCAGCAGCATTCAGCATGGTGTCGCCGTCGTCCTCATCCAAATCATCTAGTACCTGATATAGACAAACGTTGAAGGGCATTACACATTAGGAATTAGGATATGATCTATCAGTACACGCAGATAGAAGGGAGAGCAAGAGATTGTAAACAGAAGGATCATTTGAATGTATGTACCTGATCAGAATCACTTCCCTCATCGTCTTCGTTCTGTTCAAACTCAACAGCAACGCCGAAATTTTCATCCAGTTCACTAGCTGAATCACAAACTGCAGTATCATGAAAATCTGTGATGAGCTTACCGATGGAGACGAACTGGTGGAACATCTGGTCGGAGATGGGGTCGAGGAACTTGTCGATCCCCCTCTTCTTCTCAGGGCTCTTGATCTTGTCATTGTTGAGGATGGCAAGCACCTCGTCGGCGGCGCTGCCAAGCACGTCAGGAGGCTGGCCGCCGAGCTGCCGCTGGATGACGCTGAGCAGGGCCTCGTAGGCGGCTCGCGTCTCCTTGGTCCGGGGCCTGTACACGACGTCGTCGATGAGCGTGAGCACGCTGACCTCGCGCTGCGCGGTACAGGCGGAGGCGGCGCGGCGCCTGCGCTTGGCGTCGAGGCGGTGGCCGATGTCGTGGTCCGCGGCGTCGCGCGCCTTCCTCCTGCGCGGCGGCTCGACGGGGGGCTTGGCCTGGACGGCGCGGTCGCCGAAGCTCCTCGGGTCGATCCTGCCCCGGAGCGTCTCGGGCTCGCCGGTGTGCTCGTCCGCGCCGCCACGGGGGCGCGAGCCGGAGCCGGAGCCGAGCACGAGGTTCGAGTTCTCGACGTAGTCGTACTTCCTCGAACGCGCGTGCGCCTCGGCGCCACCGCCGCTACCCGGCTTGGCCATGGCTGCAGATCAAAGTCAATCAAAAGTCAAAAAAAAACAAACCGAATCGAATCACCACGCGGCCGAGACGGTGGGGGTAGGTTTTTGGCCGAATCGATGGATCGGCTGGTGGATTACCTTTGGCAGGGCGAGCCGAACGAAGCCGGCGACCTCTCGCCGAGTTGTCCGCCGCCGCCGCCGCCGCCGCCGCGTCGAGTCGCGGCGATTCTCCTCTCTTCTCGTCGTACGTCGCGGCGGAGAAGGGAGGAGGAGGGTTTGGTTTGGAGGGAAGACGGCGTTGAAACCCGCGCTGATTTTGCGGGGATCTTTTTTTTTTCTTCTTTATTTTTGCGGGTATTTATTTTGTGGGGGAGACAGGTCGGTTTGATGGACGAACCGACTTTGGAAACGTGTACTACAGTGAAAGGAAGCCCACGTAACCTCAGGCCCACAAGGCCCATCTATTTTGACGGTTTTGCTGACGTCAAATTTTCTTCTTAGATCGATTTTTCTAACGAAAGGCGTAGTGTGCGGTTCGTTACGTACGCGGCATTGGACTCGATGATGACCAAGTGAGGGTCTTGCATACATATTTTTTCCCTTTTCACTGTATAAACTGAAGTGATTAGATGATAACTCTACTTAAATGCATATGGGAGAGATATGTGACCTTCGAAAATTACATACTAATTACGTGCAAGTTATATTATAGTTACAATATAATTATATTGCAAACGTACCATATTTAATTTGACAATAGCTAAATGTACAAATAATATCTGAATGTGATAATTTAACGCTATTTCACGAGGGGATAGGGGTTGGCTTTTAGTCCGTGTGTCTATGTATATAATTTGTATACATGTATATCAAGTTTATACGTATATGTATAAGTGCATACTTTTAATGTATAAAATTTTTATATATATATAAACAAAACTTTGTATATATACATACAAACTTTATACATATGCTTACAGAGTTTATTCATATACGTACAAACTTTGTACGTATATATAAAAATTTGTATATACACGTACACATATATGTACAACAAGTACTCCGTACCATATAGAAACTAACTACGTGCAAGGGGGCCGCGCATGGCCGATCGTTAATTAGCAATCTTGGTTTCAACGTGGTCTACTTTTATCCACTAAGATAGTCTTATATGTCATCCTCAAGTGTCGATTAAAATAAATTGGTAAAAAAAAAGAGTCAAATTATCAAAATTCTCAAGGTTACCATATCTATAAATTTCAAGAAAGGGTTTGTAAGCCACTTACAGAAATTGAATTCTAGAAATTAATTTTTAGGGTTTTTCAATTATTATGTTCTACTTTTTCAGTTTTGTCTTTTGAACCATTATTACCAATATAGGTCTTACCTTAATTTTTTATTACTTTGTTTATTTTTGTACGCAAATTTTGAAATAGAATCACAACCTTAGAATTGCATTGAGGAAAATCATTACAAGCTGCAACTATATCATGAGCAGGTTATGCGCACAGTGGAAACATTGCGTCCAATCTGGGAACTAGTGGTTGCACCCGTATGATTTCTTACTAGCATACTTTCACTCAATTTTTTTTTTTGAAGCGAAAATTTCACTCAAATATTTTTTTTTCTGTTCAACATTTTTCATCATGAGCACAAATAGTTTGGAAATGGTCTTCTCCCCAAGATTGGTCATCATCAGTATCCTCGAATGCACACGCGAACAAGGTGGCCAGCAATGGTGCAAAATAGTTTGATCTACTGTATATTCGCCAAAACTCCATTTTTTTCCCCTAGAGAAGAAAGGGTTCAGACTTCTGAATTTACCTGCTATGTTTCATTTTTATCTGACCATTTGATAGATGCCAACATAAGGAAGGAAAATGAAATATTCAAGGTCCATAAGAAATGAAATTTTCAGAGAATGACTAAGGACAGCATGAAAGCTTGTTAACATGATTCCCAAAAAAAGGAAAACAAGTCTGACTATCTCTTTAGACGCCCGGTCGCTCTGCCTCGGGGGCGATGCGGGCGGCGAAACAAGCCGCGTCGCCCCCGTCCCTCTCCTCCCCTCCCACGCCTCGCCGCCGCCGGCAAAGCTGGGCGGCTGCAAGGACGGCGGCGGCAGGGCTCTCTCTCTCCACCGCTCGCAGTGGAGTTGGACGGGGCGCCGGCAAGGCGCCGACGACGAGGAAGAACCGACGACGGCGACCAGATCCGGCGCCGGGATGCACGGATCCGGTACCCCCATGGCCGGATCTGCTGCTCCGGGCGGCGGCGAGCCGGGTCGGCAAGTCGCAGCATCGGCGGCGTGGAGGTGGTGCCTTCGGCGGCCGGAGGGCCGCGTCGACGGCCGGAGGGCGGCCTCGGTGGCGTGGAGTTGGCAGCGGGGCGGAGGACGCGGCGGCATGACCGTGGCTGCGGCGACAAACGGCGAGCGTGGCCAGATCTGGCCGGACGGCTGGCGGCGGCGCTCGCGGCCGTGGTGCAGCTGCGGCGGAGGTGGATGGCGACGGTGGCAGCAGCTGGTGAGGGCGGCAACGGCTGAGGCAGCCGCTGCAGTGGCTGGCGATGGCGGCGACGGCTGAGGCAGCCGCGACAGCGAGGTGGCGGCGGCGGTTGAGGCAGCCGCAGCTGTGGTGGCGGCTACACGCGGTGTCGACCGTGGATGAGGGGGAGGAGGCACGGCGGCCTCGGACAGCTAGCCGAGGGCGTGGCAGATGACTGCATCTGGCCGGCGCAGCAGCGTTTGGAGGAAGGGTCGGAGACCGGCTTGGCGCAGAGAGGCGCAGCCAATGGCAGCGGAGGCCGGCTCGGCGCGAGAAGCGCGGCCGGCGGTGGAGGAGGCGACCTTGGTGAGTGGAGGAGCTGCCAGTGGGTGTGGCGCGGTCTTCGGCGCACGAAGGCTAGCCGGCGGAGGGCGCCGGTGCAGGGGTCCCACATGTCGACAGAGGTTGATTGGCAGTGGAGCATCGGTGTGTCAGCCGTGGTTTCGCAGGTGGTGAGCGGCAGGTGAAAACCCAGCCCGGCCTTGGCCGGACCGACAACAATGGTTAATTCCCCCTCCTGAGGGCGTTGTCGTGCTGTCTCGCCCCTCAAGGGTGGTTGCCGGGCGAAAGCCCAGTCCTGGCTCCTTTGATCCTTGACGGACGGCGGCGGCGGTTTTCCGTCGCTTCTCTTCTTGAAAACGTCGTTTTGGCACCCTCTTGCTTGACGATCTCGTCTGTGTTCCTTTGTTGGTCTAGCGGCGGTCGGTCACGCTTAGCGGCGGCCGGTATGGTGCTAGCCTTCTCCCGGACTTGTGTTTAGGCGTTGTCGGTGTGTGGGTGGTGGTTTATTTTTTCTTTTTCCTGGTTACGACCCTCCAGGGTTGCAATCTTATAATTTTTTCCTGCTCTATCAATAGAACTTCGCACCGTCTGTGCGAGTCATTCAAAAAAAATTCCCAAAAAAAATAAAAAACATGGATAGACGCCCTTCTAAGTATATGTCAATTTCTAATACATAGTTCGCAAAAGCGAACAACTTTTGAAATAAAACCACAACCTTAGTATAGTTTTAAATCACAATCTTACAAGCTGCAATTACCCATAGCTGAAGTCCAAATTTTGTGGTTCAAATACAGTAATTGAGAGAATGGAATTTACAGTGGAAAAGATGCTCCCAAATTTGGGGATCAGTGGTTCACACTTATGATCTATGAACGGCATCTTTTCACCCAGATATCTTCCGTTCAGCGTTTTTCATCATTATCACAAATTCATCGTAGTTCACCTGCCCGTCGCCATCGGTATCCGCCTCCCTTATCATCTGCTCAACCTCCTCGTCTGTCATCTTCTCCCCAAGATTGGTCATCACTGTCCTCAGCTGCACACATGAACAAGAACATGGTCAGAAATGATGGATAACAGCTTGAAAATTAATGGTCTGAACTGCTTGAGGTACTAAACCACCTCAGTTGGGGAGATAAAACCATTCTGATCCTTGTCTAGGACCTCGAAAGCTTCTTTCAGCTCTTCGTCGCCATCCCCATCCTGCGATACGCATGGAATGCAATTGCAGAGACAGATATTGGAAATCTAGTTTGGCAAAGGGGAAACAGATACTGTAGATCATCAAATTAAAGTATCCATCAAAGTTCAAGCTTCACCTTCATCTTCCTGGCAATGAGGCTCAGGAACTCCTGAAAATCTATGATCCCATTGCCATCTGTATCAACTTCCCTCATCATGTCGTTGAGCTCCTGATCGGTCGGCTCAAGGCCAAGAGAACGAGTCACCGCAGCCAGCTCTTCCAAGGTGATGCATCCTACATATATGACAAAGGTTCCAATATCAAATGTCAATTAGGATATCATAGACGCATAGACCTGAAGGCTGTAAATATTAGCAGGATTTCATTGTTGTGTAACTGAAGATAATAGCCGTGAAAACATGCCTCCAATGCTATTGCTATTTGCTTACTAGCACATAGTAGGTTTTTGTGCATATCCAAAACGAAGACCAAGACCACACCATGTGCAAAACACGGTCAGAATCATTGACCAAGATAGAGACGTCAAGGGCCAATGAATGGTTTAACTACTATTTAATAATAACTATGTGTATATCATAGAGTTAATGGCAAGTAGTGGTAGCACAAATATCAGAAAAGCAGTTTTGGAGGACATATTACGGATTACTTAAGGAACTTGACCACTAGATAAGCATGTCTCAACAACTTTTTCTAAACAAATTAGGTAGGTTACACATTGCAAAGATTAAAGGGCCCTCACTAGTCAAGAAAACGAGTGAGCCAATAACAAGCACCTTTCTGTCACAAACTGAATGATTCTTTGACCAAAGGAAGCTCTCAAACTAGTCGTGCAGCAAGCAAATCCCTGTCATTGGGCAGCGTAGAAACTTCAGGGAAACGTTTCCTAAGAACACAGAAATTCCAATTCCATCTACAGCTCCAGCACACAAATTAAAACAAGATGTAATACATATATATAAAAAATTCCTGAACCATCTAAATGATTTAGATCATTATTGAAAAAAGTAACGATTCAGATAAGGTCAGCCTTCTTTACACCGAGGAGTTTTCGAGGAAAAAAATGTCTCAGCAAGTAGGATGCAATAGAAAGTTCTAAGCGACAAGTTGAACAGTTCAGACAAGAACCCTTTACTTTTCTCCCTCCATGCTCTATCCTCCTATCATCAACAGTTGACATAAACAACAAAACAAGATTCCCCAAGACCAATTACTCTGAAACTCCTAACATTGCTTCCAAAATCATCACAGCTATAACCAAGAAATGCAAACGAACAACAATCTCAGCAAACGCTGAAACCAAAAGGAAGGAAGGCAAGAGGAGAGTTGAAACTAACCATCGCCGTTCTTGTCGAAGAGCAAGAACGCCTCCTGGAACGCCACCATCTGCTCGCTCGTCAGCCCTTCCATGCAGGCTCCGCCACCTTCACAGTCACACCACTAGCAAGGAGAGTGCAGGAAAACACAGAGGTGGTGGTAGTTGGGTGAAGAAGCAAGCAAAGCAGAGTCACAGCAGCAAGAACTTTATATAAGGGTGAGAGGAGGGAAGCTGGGTGGAAGTATCCTACCATGGGAAAAAAGAAATGCCTAAGATAAAGAAGACCCCTCCTTGTGCTTGGAGACAGAGACGCGCTGGACGGTGGTGCATCTTTGTAGTGGTAGAAGAAAATTGGAGGAAGTCAGGAGCTCTCATGGTTTTGAGGTTTTCCTAATCATTTCCTGCGCTTTCCCTGCCATTCTACTCAGGAAAGCGACCACAATTCAGCGCTGGAACATATATTACACTCGGTATAACTCACAGCTTTTCTCGTTAAACAACTGTATAAAAACTAGAGTATAAGAGCAAATTTTGTAATACTAATATATAGCCAGACGAGAAGCGTATGCGAGTGTACGACCTGTGCCACGCAATGCCTTGTCGGTCTGATGGTGGCGAAAACGACGTGAAACACAACAGGAGAAATTGAGATGAGATGAGATGATACCGGTGTTGTGAAGATCCTCCAGGATTATTCCAGCGATGTAGAGTACCTGAATGACAGCCAAGGGTGAAAGTAAAGGGTAAGTAAGTTTCTGGGGATAAACAGCAGGGGGGCAACTTGTATTGGTTATTGATGCAAGAATTGACTTGGAACAGAATGATAACCTTTCATTAGGGTTAGTAGCTTTAGCTCGGATTTGAGTAGTAGACCATCCTGCAGTGATCAAACGAATCAGAATAAAGTAGCAATAAACTGACCTCCACGTACCGTATATCTATGCTGGATCCAGTCAGCCTGGAGTGTAAAATAATGAAAAGTGACAAAGAAAACAAAGCTCTTGACCACTGAGAAAGTCACCGGAAAAATGCTCGAGGAGCAGTCAGATGGAGAACTACTGCATAATCAGGCATACATCAAGGAACAAGCCGTAGAAATGCAACAGCATCAACAACAGTCACAGCACAGAACACAAGTTTACCAACCGACAGGACTACATCATAACTGCAGAGACCAGGCAGGCCATGTACTACGAAATCGACTACTCTAAAAGAAAGCAAGAAAAGAGTGTACCATGACATCGGCAGATTGCCACAAATTAAGCAAAGGGAACCAAGTTTGCATTAAGGTTTAGTACTCAATCAAAGTTAACAACCGACCACAAATACAGTGTTCCAATGACTGAAGCAGTACGAGGAAACCATTACACAGATGGATTGCTGATATATGAAAAGCTTGACTAAAACCTACACGGTAACTAGGACTCATCACACAAAAGTCCAGTTTAAACTAAGGATGCTCCTGTCCTAATCTTCACTCTTTGGAGGACTTGTTGATCAGGGACTTGTGGATGTGAGGAATGACACCTCCACCAGCGATGGTACCCTTGATGAGAGTGTCGAGCTCCTCATCTCCACGGATGGCAAGCTGCAGATGGCGAGGGGTGATACGCTTGACCTTCAGATCCTTGCTAGCGTTCCCAGCCAGTTCCAGAACCTCAGCTGTTAAGTACTCCAGAATAGCAGCAGAGTAAACTGCGGCAGTAGCACCAACACGTCCATTTGCCTGAGTCCTTTGCTTCAACTGGCGATGGATACGGCCAACAGGGAACTGAAAATATGAACAGGAAAAATTATCAGAGTCCAAATTCCACAATTCAATATAGTGAACTCTATACCAACACTAATAGTAGAACCATTAATATCACATTGACAACCAAAGTTGTTTTCTTTATATCACAGAAACATAAAATATAGCAACGCCATACAAGCAGTAGCACATAAAGTTGATTTCATAAATCTGAAAAATACTAGTATATCATGGACCAATTGACTCGCTGACATGCTCACGGTGGACTGAAGGATGTGACACCAGATAGCACGTACAAAGAAGTCAGCCTCAATTCACAGACCATGAAATATATTGTACATATGTTAACAAATGATGTCAACAGACATAATTAACACATGATGACAAACAAGCCGCTGTTTCACATAATCTGACAAGTGACAACAATATAACAAAGCAACATAACGTTCTAGATGCTGGAAATAGTTTGCACGAAAAAAAATAATGTGTATAAATCAGGTGCATGTTTATCTTATCTATCAAGAGGTAATAAGTCAGGTGCTTGATTGTCATTGTATCCCCATCCCCTCAGGAAAAAAGAATCAACAAGAAAAACTACTTTGAAAGGCACACACATGCAACATACCGCAGTGGCAGACCCAGAGGAAAAACTAAAAAGCAAAATCAAACCCAGTATCCTCTGCCAGTGGTGTGTAGCCCGACATAGATTTGCCCCTGCCTACCAGAGTCCTATCATGGTTGGCTTCCATGGTAGCTGAAACCACCACAGTTGGTGCCACTGGCATACTACCACCTTCCTAGATGCACAAATTACACATCTACTCCCTCTGTCCTAGAAAAAAAACAATTCCTAACTTTAAATCTGAACAATTGTTTATCCAAATGCAAAGCTAGGAATTGTTTTTTTCTGGGATAGAGGGAGTAAATGTGTAAATTGCACTAATCTTGTTTGCTACCTCAACAGCCACCTCAAATTGTCCACACTATGGCCACATGCATCTAGTTTCCATTTTCCAACCATCCATCACGACCAGAATAGCAAAAAAATAAAATGTATCATCACATAAACTAAAATCTCCAAACGTATATTGTTCTCTCATTTAACTAAAATCTCCAAACGTATATTGTTCTCTCCTCTTTATTAAAAAAGAAAGAGAATCCCCCAGCTTCAATTCTTATTGAAACAAAGTATCAGTACACTCTAGATCGTTTAGGCAATACAAACAAACGATGTCCTGCAATCATCCTCTTCTGTAATGTTAGCATGTTAGCATCACGAATTCTAAAGCATATCTCCACAGCAAAATCAGCCAATCTTCATTGTGCTAACACCGCCTGACCAAACAAACTAAATCGTATAAACCAATCAACATAACACAACCAGATAGACCAAATGCTTCCATAGATCTACCAAAACCTCCTCCGAACACGACGAGTTTCCAAACATCTAAAACCCAACCTCGCTAGCGTGCAAAACCTTCTACAAAATACTAACAACACGCGCCATACCTACACAAATCTAATCAATGCATGTATATCAAAACTAAACTAAACACACATACTGGCAGAAGAAGCAACCTCTCGATACAAACGTGTCTAAACCTGACCTATCCATCGCTCCCCCACGAAGCGAACAAAGCGAAAGCAGAGGAAGACGAGAGATCACCTGGAGACCAGCGCGGGACGAGCGGGAGACGGGGGCCTTCTTCCCCTTGTCCTTCTCCGCCGACTTGGCGGCCGTCGTCTTCGCGGCGAGCAAGCCCTTACCTCCTTTTCCCGCCATCGCTCTCTCTCCCTCTCCCTCTCCCTCTCCTGTCTCCTCCCCTTCCGCTCCGCTCGAACGCCCGCGCGACCCCGGCGGCGGAAACCCTGCAAAACGGGGGCCGAATCCGGCGAGGCGAGCGCCGGGTCAGAGCAGATCGGGGCGCGAATCGTGCGGATCTCGCCGCCCGGCGGCGAAATCCGCGCGGGAAGCGGAGGAATTTGGGGGCGGATTCGGGATTCGGATAAGGCGGAAACCCTTACCTTTCGCGAGCTCGCGGAGCCTCGGCTTCCTCCTCTCCTACCCCCTGACGCGACGCGGACGAAAGCGAGATTTTTTTTTTCCTCTTCTCTTCCTTTCTTTACTCCCACGAAAGGGCTAGCTAGGGATGATATAGGAAAAAGTGCGCTTTTTCACTTAACCCCTCAGATAATAATGATATTATTATTACATATAATCTGGGGCGTTGGGGAGAGAGAGACTCTGTGTATAGGGAGTTTTTGTGGGATTTGTGAATAGGGTAGGGTGGTATGTGGGAAACTACCAGCCGTGCGCCACTTGGCGAAATATTTCGAAATGGCGTGCCGGTTTCCATATATGCCCTCGACGCTGCGGATAATTACGCGGATGGGTGGGAGAAATCAGCAGCTGAGACGGGAGACGGAGGGGCATCTCGGTGAGGGTATTTTTGGGAAGGTGGAGCGGTGGCGGGATGCCGGGATGTCGTGCGTTTTGGGGTGCAGTTACCAAACTGCCCTTGCCAGAGGGGTCGTTGACCTGTAACTTGAAGGACTCCAGTCGAGTTGTGCCGGTGTGACTGGTGTGGTGGTGCAAATGGCCAAATGCTTTTTGGATGGCACGCCGCCACGCTTTTCTTTTGTCTTTTATATTTTCACCTTGTAGTACAAATTCGTACAAAATTACTCTATTCGTATGATCAAATTGTTATCTTAGGCTGTGTTTAGATTCATGGGTGTAAAGTTTTGACGTGTCACATCAAATATACGGATACATATTTTAAGTATTAAACGTAGACTAATAACAAAACAAATTACATAATATGTCTGTAACACCGCATGTAACAAAAACAAATTACATAATCCGCATGTAAACTGCAAGACAAATTTATAAGCCTAATTAATCCGTCATTAGCAAATGTTTACTGTAGCACCACATTGTCAGATCTGGAGCAATTAGACTTAAAAGATTCGTCTCGCAATTTACACGCAATATGTCTTATTAGTTATTTTTTTCGTTTATATTTAATACTCCATACATATGTTCAAACATTCGATGTGATAGGATGAAAAAATTTGCCAGAAAATCTAAACAGGGCCTTACACATGTTCTTTTATGATTAAGATGTAGATTTGCCTCAGTTTTCGTTAGCTTAGTTTTCAAAATGCTAAACGATATATTTTGTGCGAAAACTTTCTGTATAAAAATTATTTTAAAATATCAGATAAAACTATTTTTCTCAAGTTTGGAATAACTGAAACTTAATTAATCGTATCTAACTAGTAATATGCCCGTGCTAAACGCTACGGTACAATTCTATTTCTCTTTAATAACTTTTAAAATCTTGATTTTTCTATTCGTCACATAAGACACACGCCGACCGCTACCCTTTGATCACATAGCATGATGGCGTGAATATAAACCCAAATAACAGTTTAATAAGAAGTAGATATAAAATTAATAGTTTTACCATGTATAACAAGATAACAAGTGGTTGTCATCTCGCTAACATCTTCTTTCATGACCCGAATACTAAAAAGATATCTGTACTGAAATTTATTGATGGCAAAAGTATATGTTCAGAAAGACGTGTTAACGTATAGTCATGTTATCAGCCTGGTGTAAACTGAAGCATGTATCATGGTATGGTATGGAGAACATAATTACACGATATTCCAACTGAATGGTGATGTCGTGTTGTACAAAGTAAGTGGACATTGGTGAGTAACATTCGGATCATCAATTTACTATCTTCTAGATTATGTTTTCGAATTAATTTTAATCATGAGAACCTACCTTTGCTCACCAGTCGAGAACGTCTTTATACACGATATTTTATTGCCAGGTCCCATAACCAACACTACAATCTATAAGCAAAACTAATTCCGACACACTGCGGGAGAGATGAGAAATTGAGGAATTTTATGGACTGATGCATTTGTTGCTATTAATTATTATACTTGCCCATGATTTTTTCATTAAAGTATGTGTCTGTTTTTCATTAGTATCATAAGGTCATTACATCACAACTTTTATATTACGTGTCGACTGTACCATGTAACGAATAGTGTTCCCATAGACCCTTTGTCTAATAAGATGTACACTCCCCTGAATATGTTAGCTATAGCATGTGACAATCCAATTATTGTGGACTGTGTAAGTTTATTTTGGTCATAGATTCAGAAAATAAAATGAGTTTGAATGAATATTGTTTACTTAAATTGCTCCTAAGTTGGTTCAACTGTCTCCAAAAAGATGTGAGGCAATGACTCCAGTTAGTTAGTTCTGTATACAGAGTGTATTTGCCACCCTTTGAGGGGCAATACTTTTATGAAGCTTAAAAAATGAATTTCAATACATCTGCCCTGGCTTGAAAGTAAACATGATTTTATTTTCAAGATTGCATTTTAGTTTACAGTAGATGTACACTGTAGCTAGGTCTGTCATTTTTATTTGTAAAACTCAATAGGTGTAACCGCTGGTCCGCTGCTATTTTAATGCAGATTTCAAAACCATGTATACCACAATTGGTACTGTTAAGCAGTTCTGCATCAACACTGGTTATTATTATACAATACCACTATGTTAATTAGTGTGGAATCACTTACCCATGTCCTCTTAATAATTTATCCTCTGATTGCACTAATAAAATTAGGGTGCTATATGGCATAAGTTATGCACGCAATACTTCTTATCAAGATATTCTAAAGTAAAACGTCTCAAATACAGCTACAAACATTGACAAGCGGGCATATTACATCCACACAACAGTGTATTGTTTCAGGTCCCTAGAAATATACCTAATGCTATGAGAGCTATTCATTCCTAATTTAGATGGTGAAACTTTCTTGAAAACAAGAATTAATCATTCCATATGTGCTTACCTTTTACTTTGGAGCAATTAGGCACAGGCAAGGTGATTCTTTCTGTTCCCTCAAGGCATTCTGTTTATACCCCTTGGAATTGGTTGGGCTTGAATCCAAAAATCCAGAGCATAAAACAATATATAAATAAACTCCCAATGAAATGTTGCAAAACTCCCGATCACAATAGATTCATTGGTCTACTTTATAATATCTTCCTCCTTGCCCTCTACCACATGCAAATGTAGTAGGACCAGCCTAGTTGAAACAAAAATGAAATTAGGAACTACATGAACAATCTATTTAAATCCATGGCTATGAAAGTACCGTAGGTTAGGCTCGTATAAAAGGGTTAACTCAAATACATCACTCTTCAGTTATTTGCCATATGGGTGGCATGCTAACGCTACATACACCACAATTTAGTAAAGCAGTGTTCTTTTAAAATTTGACAGCATCTTTTTAGAGTAAATGTGACACACATGCAGAAATAGATCATGTGTGAAACAGAGATGTATACAATTGAGTAACCGGAGTATCTCTAGAGTAACTTTGATAGCTTGAATAACTGGAGTGAAGTAGTCAACAGCAGAGCAGATTTTTCCTGATTCATGCAAAACTGTTAACGTCGGATACAAGGAAGTGGACATAAACTATTTTCATAAGATAAGACGCATAGATTATTTTCAGTTTATTGGCCTGATCTCTTGCAGTTAAGTGCCATATATATTTTAGTATTTGACATGTGGAACTATAGCCACGAATCCGCTTACTGACAGATCAAATCCTCCTAGCATAATTGACTATAATAAAGAACACATTGGATTTGAATCCAAGGAAACATATCACACATGCACGCCATCAATCACGGGTGCATGTACTCCAAATATACAAGGGTCTAAATATACATTTCACTGATATAGTACACAATAAATTTTATTTGTAAATATACATGTGTCAATCAATTGGACAATATCAAAGACATTTATTTCTTTGGAGCATGTATATTGTACCTGATTGGAGCCGGCCTATGTAACCTGACGAATGAGTTTGAACCGGCAACGGCGCTTCCAATGGAAGGGGAGGTTGGCCACGATGAGGCTGCGTCCCTGACTGGACGGCGATGAGGCTTTGCTCGATACCGCGACAGGAATCAGGGAATGCGGCAGCGGCTGAGAGGCCGGATGAGAGTGATGGCACCTATAGAACCATCTTCTCAATAGAGTAACATAACAATGTATAGTAGTCAATAAAATCAGTTTAGGCAATACATCAGTGCTTGCACATAACCAATGCAGCACATTTTACATATTCAGGTGTCATTATTTGAAAAGCAATATTATGACGTAACTCATTGAATCCACTGCCACACGGATAATAGACCCACCCTGGATATTTCTTTAAACAAATAGACAAAAGCATTATGGAATTTTCAGAAAGTACATAGTTTAGCTCATGTAAATTTTATGTGGCTGGAATTAGCTCAAGGAAAGAACGAATCCCATCATCATGACATCATACCATCTCATTGTCATGTTACATTTTCAAGGGAAAAAATTATCACTGCACAAAGCAGAACTTGGATATAACCTAAAAGTACCAGAAGCCACTCTGAAAGTTGGATTAATTCCATTGTTGCAGCAGTTGAACGATATAATACTTGAAGGTTGTATATGCACGCTACTAATTAAAGCGCTTCATCTGAATTACAGACATAAACATCCTGATCATAAGAGAAATTAAATCATTTGCATTATATAAAAAGTTGCAGATGCTAATCAAATTGTTTAAAACATGACGTCATCATTGATAATTTAGTGGGATATGTGCACACACATCAGAAACATGGCACTGTCAATCCGCAAGTAAATGAATTGCCATTGCTTATTAAATTTTGGACCAATCGAGGAAAAATCAAGAAGAGGAAAGAGCAAATGAAATAAGAGAAAAGGATCTCCATGTACCAGGCAGAGAGGGCCGATGACACTGATCAGGTAGACCGCCGGTGAATCGGGTAGATGATGGACGCAACCTAGCGGCAGTGAATCAGCGACGGAGCTACGGCCGAGTCGGCGCTTTGTGTGGCAGCGGCGGCGACAGTGTGAGTCAATTTGGAGGCAGGAATCGAATGAGAAACACATGCAGATAATAACTTTTTGTGTCATAAACGCACATAATAATTTAATTTCAATTATCTCACTGATGTATTCTATAGTGGGAGGGAGGAAAATTAAACAGCAAGTACATATTCATTTGTATTCACTATTTTATCTCTATTTCAGTAACTTTGAACAGATGCATAATAGCCATTGATAATTTAATATTAGGATGATTCATAGTAGAACGGAGCCGCTCCCTAATGATGAAGCTCGCCACGTTGATCCAATGAAAAAAAATAAAAAAAATAGAACTAAACAATCAGGCCTGAAATGTTCAGACTGTTCATGCTTATGCTCTACCAACTGCTATACAATTAAAGAAGAAGATCCAAGAAAACATATGCGTAAAATTTGAGTTTCCACCTCACAGCAAGTTTCTTCTCTGACAAATAAAATTATCTAAACTCATATCACAGTAATAAAAAGACCACAACCAATATCAAATCTTAAATACTGAAGGACCTAAAACTAACTTATATCTGGATTGGATCGTAACTGCTGAAGGCAATACTATTCAACACAACGGTAGAAAATGTACATTATCGTTAAAATGCCTGCTCATGATAGTGTAACCTATAAAGAGATGGGGATTTCAGTGCATTCGCGTTTGGGAGGGGAGGAACCGGAATATAGATTTGGATTTTGCTGTGAATAAAGATGTACTAATTATTTGACGAGGCATTACCATCGATCCATCCAATCTGCAAGGTGCTCTCTACCATTGTGACGTTCTCGCTCCCGCTGTCCTGCACACACACGCAAATAACAAAGAAAAAAAATCAGAGAAGGGGGATTGGAGTCAAGGAATGGAGATAAAAAAAAAAAGAAAGGACCAGGAAGTCTGGGCTTCTCCGTTAAAATTCAAAGAGTTAGGGATAGGAATTTAGGAGATCGGGGATGGAGACCTTCAAGTGTACGATGCAGGCAAGGAGGCGGTCTACGTGGTGGGACGGGCGTAGAGGAGACGGCCGACAGCGACGGGGATGGCGGATGTAGGGTTGGCGCGATGGTGTCTTGGCGGCACGGACCTCGGTGACTCATGTGCAGGGTATGGCGACGGGGACGGAGATCCCGACCAGCGTAGGAGAACGTGCGGAGCGGATGAGGACTGCGGCGACGGCGGCGTCGGCGTGGATCGTGGGTGGCTGGGTGTGGCTGCTGTTGAGGGGGAGCGGCTGAGGAAGAGGCGTTGGACCATCGGCGGTGGCAGAAGGGCTGAGGCGCGATGGGAGAGAGGGGAGCGATCCTGCAAAGAGATGGGAGTGAGGGGAAATCGCGAAATCACGGATGAGGAGATCACGCGAGGGGGGAGGTGGGAGCGACGGGATGGGGAGGAGATCGCGATTGGCGTGAGGCAGCGTAGTGGTTGGCGTGGCGGCGTCCGGTTTTTGGGGGCAGCGGCATGGTGGCGGCGGCGGCGTCCGTGTGCGAGAGAGAAGTGAGAGGGTTGCGCGCAGGTTGGGGGCGGCGAATCAGAGTGGGGCCCACGCAATCACGCGATTGATGGAGGTGGGAGGCGGGGGATCGATCTAGACCGTTCGATTTTACACACAGATGATCTGGACCGTTCCATGAGGAATGAAAGAACGAGTGAATGAGTGAAACCATTTGTTACAACTATAGGATAGATAACTTTCTCGTTTTACATGTCTATAATTAATCTTTATTTTCATCAAATTCAAATGGGGCGTATGTCCAAAATAATCCATGTGTGAAGCGCTAGAACTACTGGTGGAAACACAAGATACATGAGAAACTTACGGTGATTAGCTGACGAGAATCTAATATATTGACGTGCAATCCTTTTGCGTGTTCGCGAAAAAAAAATAGCCGACGAGAATATAGGAAAGATACATTTTCTAACCTTTCACTTTCAATTTATTTTCTAAATTCTGTAACTTGTATAAAAGTATAGAATATTTGAAAAGTTGCAGTTTCCTGAAACTCCTCGAGCAAGGGCTATGTGTACATACACTGAGTGGACCCATCGTATTCATACCAAGCTCGTACAATTATACGGGTAGCAGTTAATCGCAGCCCCGTCCTCATCAATATAGGTGAACAGAACTTCTATTGTTTTGCATTGGCATGGCAATACTTCCAGGGGCTCCCGGCGCACATGTTTCAGGCTTTCAGCAGTAAAGCAGTTTCTCCTAACCTTGGAAGTTGGCACCTTTGAAGTACTGTCAATTTCTAGAACTCTTGGTTTTGTCCAATCAGGGCCCTGAGAGAATCCTCCTCTACAAATATAAAGCAATTATAGCGTTTGAAATTTGTCCAGCTACCCCTCGTTCAATTTCCTCACCTACTCCCCATCCCAAACAATCAGGTGATGGTTGAGGGATTCAACCGGAGGCATGAAAATATTTTTATCCCAACCATAATTTATCTTAAAACTTTCAGGAGTGCTTGTATTTGTCGAGGATGGAGGGAGTGGTATGCAAAGAATGAAAATTCAGCAGGACATCCGTTTTTTCAACTGCACGGATGCATTTCCCAAGAGGCGATGCCAGCATGATGATACCTGCAACAGACAGAGGAACATGTTGGAACATAAATCAGCTACCCCACCCAAGCAACAGCATACTGTGAAGTAATTCCACCCTCAAAATGCAGCTTACATGCACTGTTAATAATCTGGCATTGATGTTTGTGGTGCCTACTGTACATGTGTGAGCTCAGCAAGGCTGGGGATGAGTGTGCACTAGTTGTCATGGCACAAGAATGTGCACAGTTGGTGCAGTGGACCTGTGGTTAAAAATGGATAATCCGAAACAAGGATTGTGTGTAAATGCTTGAATCGGGGAAACCATTGACTATGGGGTGCAGCCGTGCAGGCACTCCTTTCATATGCCATATGGTGAAGCGTGGTGAACGAGAAGGGATGGCATGGCTCAAGGAGGAAATGAGGTAACAATTAAATATTGTTATTCATAATATTAGCGAATGGTGAAACTATACTTACAGATGGTGAGAGCAGAAATGCATTTAATATGCTCAGGTGGTGATGAAAAATAGGGGAAATTGGTGACCATTGACAATTCTGCTTAAATATAATAAAATAGCAGCAGGAAAAAAAATCATCTATGAGAGCTGGAATAAATTTGCTTGTATGGAATTCTTGTTCTGAAAAAAAAATACTGGAACAAATAAACACTACCTGAAACCTGATGGACAGTTACCAGCACATTATCCATTGCTGCACTGGGACTAGTAATCTTGCTGATTGTAGCTTGATAAGAATGTGGTATTGTTGCCGGCCATTGTCACCCAATCACCCCCAATCTTGTCAACGTTCATGAAACTGCACCTGCCAAAAGATGCATTTACACGTTACATAAGTTGCAAGGTTTGTTTGTAGTAAAAACATCATTAGTTTATTTTACTATGCAAGAAGAGAAAATTCCTGAATCTTCTAGTTCGGTATCTTCAATTTTGCACTGCTGAGGAAGATTCCCACTTAAGACAACCCCCTCAGGCATCTACAAGATTTTGTTTCCAGTTCCGAACCTTCGGGCATTTAGAAAATTCCGTTTGCAGTTTCTCAAAATAAGGTTTACGAGTATACTTTCTTTGTTGCCGTACTTGATCAGCATCTAACAAAGATATGGGGCTTCCTATCGAATTTATTCTGGGCCAATTGGCTAGCTACAGTTCAAAGAGTTAAGAGATTTTATCAGAGAAAGCTTGGATATCATGGCTATACATTATATTCGTGTTAAACATTGTGTGGAATTTCTTCCATACTTTTACCTTTGTACTTTGCAGTCTCAGTGTCTGGTAGAATCATAATAACATTTGAAATCAAAAGACTCAATGGGATTATGGGATTATCTCATAGATCTGGTAGATTTTGATATCAAGTTTCTTTTGATCAGTAAACACTTAAATGCTAGTGCAAACATTGCAGGCTTCACTCAAATAATTAGCGATGACTCACTTATAAAAAAATAATAACCAGCGATAATTGTAGAAGCAATCTCTAGTGCATACAGAATTTATGACTAGAGGTATAGCTTACATAGAAGTGCAGGATTTTTTTTTTACTGGAGAAGTGCAAAATTGTTCTTAATGAATCTAGATCATGCCCTGAAATTTGATCTTTTATGAATAAAAATGTCTGCTTCAATTCCTGCATGCTGGAAGAAGAGAAAAATCAATATGTATTCAGAATATGTTGTGTGAATAAAGAATTAGAAGAAATCAATTAAAGGGAGCGGGTAAGCCCAGATACTGTTTTAGCATCAAAGTTTTCACCAATAACTTATAGCTAGTGGTTTATGAATAATACTTTATTCCCCAGATTGAAAACTGCATTCTTCCAGGTTAGAAGAGGATGAGTAAATGACATGTGCACCAGTAAATGTGTTTATTGGGAGAAAGAAGTGTGCAATTGAAAATTAGTACTGCCTACACAATTGAAACATACTCCTACCTAGCATATGAAGCAACAGAATCAGCTGCCAAAAGTACTAGCACCTGCTGATTTTCTCACTCCTTTCCTTTCCATATTCTCCCTTACTTCATTGCTGTAGTTCCACTGACCTTCAGCAGCATACATGTTGGAAAGCAAAACATATCCACCCTCCTCTGCGGGTTCAAGACAGAGGAGTTCCTTTGAAGCAATCTCTGCTACTTCAGTATTCTGACAAGCTGAACTCGCACTTAAAATGGAACCCCATATAGACCGACTTGGCTTCATTGGCATCCTCCTGGCCAAATCTACTGCATCAGACAGCCTACCTGATCGTGCAAGGAGATCAACCATACAGCCAAAGTGTTCTACTCCTGGTTCAATGTTGAACCTTTGCTTCAAGGTATCAAAAATCTTGCACCCTTCATCAAACAGGCCAGCATGACTACAAGCACTGAGAACAGCAACCAAAGTTACCCCATTAGGTTCTGTACCCTCAGCTTGCATCTTCCAAAAAAGATCCAATGCTACATCTCCATGGCCATGGAATGCAAGGCCAGATATCATAGCTGTCCATAAGGTAACATCTTTGTCCACGGCCTTCTCAAATACGGCATACGCTAGCTTGATACTTCCACATTTGCAATACATATCAACAAGAGCGGATGCTAAGAAAGAATCTTGAGTACCATGCTCCTTAACCACCCAACCATGGACACTCCTTGCTGAATTTAAAGTCCCCTTGCCGGCAACCGCAGAGATCAAAGTAACAGCAGTCACCTTATCAGGTATTACACTACTAGCAAGCATATCATGAAATAGTATCATTGTTGCAGAGAATTCTTCATATCGAGCATATCCAGCCAGAAGCGCATTCCAGGATATTATATCCCTGGCAGGCGCCTCACCGAAATATTTGCTAGCAAGGTCCAACAAGCCAGCATTAGCGAATCCGGCAACCATAGTGTTCCACGAAATGCCATCCCTCTCACCAGCTTCATCAAAGACTCTCATGGCCGTGTTCATTTCCCCGCATTTGGCATACATATCCAAGAGAGCATTGCTCAAGATCAATCCCCTATCCGCGACACCGATCCTCCGCACGACGACGCCATGGACGGACCTACCAAGAACTGCCTTCTTCAGCCGCCCGCAGCAAGCGAGGAGAGCAACAGCCGTGTACTGATCAACACCGATCCCCCTCGACGCCATGCCGCGGAAAAACCGCAGCGCCTTCCCGCTGCATCCTCCCTTGACGTACCCGGACAGCATGATGTTGCAGGACACCGCGTCCGCCGTCGGCGCACACCGGAACATCGCCTCCGCCGCCTCCACATCGCCGGCGTCGAGGTACATCTTGATCAGCGAGTTCCGGAGGTACACGCGCGAATGCAGGCCAGTCACCACCACGTGCGCGTGCACCTGCTTCCCGACGGAGCGGCGCTCCGCATCCACCGACTTGAGCAGCGACAGGAAGGTTTGCTCATCGGGGTGAATGGATGACGCCAGCATCGACATGTAGAGAGCAGCCGGCCGACGACTAGGCGAGGAGGAGGCCGCCGCCGCCGCCGCCGCGGCCGAAGAGAGCATGAGGTTGTAGATGTAGAGGTTGGGGCGAGGGGTGAAGTGCTCGAAGAGGGTCTCGGCGGCGCGCGCGTGGTGCGGGAAGGAGACGGTGGCGAAGTGGAGGAGCCTGCTCATGGGGAAGGTCTCGAAGGCGAGGCGGAGGCGGAGCATGTGGGCGAGGATGGCCTTGAACGGCCGCGCCCCGCCGCCGCACCGCTCGAGGAGGACGAGCGCCGGGTGGCCCAGCCGGAGCGATACGGTCGGGTCCCACGGCGGCCTCCCGGCGCCGGCGGTGGAGGCCATCCCGCCGCCGGCGAGACGGGAGCGCGCGTCGGGTCGAAGGCGCCTGCCGTCTCCCCGGGCGGCGGTACCACCGTCGCTGTTTGGGAGCGGCGGAGGCCGTCCGGAGAGGGCCGCCTCGCCGCCGGCGCCCGCAGCGCCTCCGAGCCGGTGCCTTCGCGGCGGCGGCGGCGGCGGCGTACGGCGAGGCGGCGCCGCGTGGCAGAGGCCCAACAGCTAAAGTAAACGTTCGCCAAATTATGGGCCGCGAAATTACTTCATGGGCTGAATATTATGCCCACCCTCTAATTGCGCTACGCTGGAAGGAAGCCCGAGAAAAAAACTCACTGTTGCAACTTGCAACGGCCATACTAGTCTGTTAAAAAAACAAAAAAAAGACAATTCTAGTTATGAACCTGAGCACATATATATTTAGATTCGTAGTTAGGATTTTCTTTTATGGAGGGGTAAGGCTTATTTGGTTCGAAGAATTTCTAAATCATAAGAATATGAAAAATAGAAAAATTAAGATGTCACATGTAATCCAATTCCTAGGATTTTTTTTCTAAAATGTCTATCTCATACTAAGAATCATATACGATAAGGTTATAGGACTATGATTCTTAAGAATTTTGAAACGAATAATGTATATATAAAAAAAATCCTATGGTTTTAATTAGTACAATAATCTTTTAGAAATCCTTTAAACCAAATGAGTACTAAGCTAAATTGTGTAAACTAAAGTGTGTGCGCATGTACCCATATAGTGAAATCCGTTTATGCTCAAGCAAGATCGAAATCAGACGAGAATCATACGGTGCTAGCTCAGTTTGTTCTAGGGATACCATATTTACCATGGTCGATTCACGTCACATGAAAAACAAGGGTCTTTCTAATCCATCCAGGAAAGCTTGTCCAGTTCTAATCACTTTCAGTCAGTGTCCCCTGATAAAAGTTTAGTATAAAAAAGAGAGCAAGATATAGGCCCCTTTGAATTGCATGATTAAAAAAAAAGAGAAATAGGGAAAACACTTGATTCTGATAATAGTGCAAGTGTAAAACAGATGATTGCAAAACACAGGAATAACCATTTGATTGGACAGTAGAAAAAACGCAGGAATCAAATAAGAGAGATAAATTCAAAGAAAATTTTCAAGAGATTAGAGACTTAGAGTGGATGTTAAATTTCATACATTTTTCAACTAGAATCGTAGAAATAAGAAAGTTTTCTTTCCTATACGAATTAAAGACATAAATAATTAAAGACATGAATAGTGTAGGATTTCAATTCCTCTTTTTTTTTTGAACATTTTTCCTCCAATTCAAAAGGGGCCATAAAGTTTTGTACCTTCACCTGCTCATCATATGTCGTCACCTCCATCCCCCCATCTCATCAAATCAAACAAGACAATGAAAACTGATCACATTCCCCTGGTTAAGTATGCCATTGGCAAACCATTATCGCTCGATCACAACCAACATGATCTTCAGTTTACCAGATCAAAACCCAATTGCTCCCGAGGAATATTACCAGCAGTGTAGTACTAGTAGCAGATACATGTCATCTGCTTTTCGATATGAGCCGTTCAGTCCCGTCCATGTCTGCCATCAACTTGCTTCGTCAGAGTTCATCAGACTAATACCGACCAACCATCATGCATGTGCAGAGCGATCGATTTCTCTCTCGTCTATACCGAACACTCGAATCGATCGATCGACAAAAGCGTAATCCGGATCTTCGATCTGTCAGGAACCTTGGCGACGAGGAGTTAATCAACGGGTGATGAGATCGATCGATCGATCGATGGATCCCTCCTCTCATGTCGGTTAGGCGACAGGAAAGATTGCGTACCAGCGATCCCTGCTCCTCATCGACACACCAGTCTGTACATTCCTCGATCGATACGGCGATATATATCTCGATCGAGCGAATTCAAAAGAAAAATTGTCTGGTTTATCAACTCTGCATGCAGCGTTTGATGTGATTCGAGTGGCACTTTGGTGGTATTTTTTTTCTCCCGAAAATGAAGATGAAGTTCTTTACGCAAAATGAGACGGTATTAACATATGATTGATTGAGTTTTAATTATTACGAACTTGAAAAATAGATTAATATGATATTTTAGCGCAACTTTCATATATAAAGTTTTCGCACGAAACGCACCGTTTAGCAGTTTGAAAAGTGTGCCACAAAAATCTTTATCTTCGTCCAACTCTTATTGGAGAATGAATGGGACCTTTGTGTGATATGGATCCTATCTCCAGCCTCCAGGGAACCGAACAAAAGAAGAGAACAAGTAAGAGACGCTTCGATCGTCTGATCGACACAGGATCAGTGGATTGCATGTATGATCGATATACATCCACTGGCCACATGGTTCCACTGTTATTTCTGCACCATGTTTGATTACGAACAAGTAGCTAATTAGCTATAGCTAGTAGCCTAGTACTATGTACTAATGCAAAGTACGTACAGGGTACAGCCCAAATTAATTCTATCTTAAGCCAAGTACTAAGTACCAGTTAGTTCGGTACGCGTATTAGCAGCTGGGAATAGTCTTAAGACAGCGGTACAATAGTCCAAGTAGGCACTAATTCTGGGTCGCATATGCATTGCAGTGCAGTGCTCTGATGGGTGTGAAGTCTGAACAGCCGGATATAATCGAGCAAAGGGAAGAGGGAGGGGGACAAGTGAAACTGCTCATGTCGTCCGAGTGTCTCCGGATGCCACGGTTCGCTCCACTGTTGTTCGGTTGAGACCCAACAGGGACACGCACGGCACGGCCACTGTTTGTCCGCCACGCCCACGCACACGCACGTTGCAAGAGCTATTGCTTTCCGTCCAAAAAAAAAAGATCAATCCTATCAACGAACATAGACTGATCCGTAGTTAGGAGTTGGTTTATTTTGAAACGAATGGTGCAGATGGTTGGATTCGGCTTGGGCCCGGGTGCGGTGGCTGGTGGCTAGCTAAGCATCGGTCGATCGATCGGTGAACGAATTCTATGAGTTTGTCAGTAGCCATCGGTGTCATATGTTATTATCGTCGTCGCTGGGTCATATGGTTGTGACTTGTGAGTTGTGAGTTGTGAGAGAGAGCGTCGGTGCCTAGATAATTAGCTGTTGAATACCCATGCCGTTCGTGCGTGCAGTGGGGAGGGACCGGTCGGATTGCTGCGAGATCGATGGAGGGAGCAGGTCCCGTTCACGGGGCCCCGGTTAAGTTGTAACTACTGTACTGTGTAAGCAGTAGTAGGATGCAGCTACCAAAGAAAAGCGAGTGGCCATCACTACAACTACTGCATTAGGATGGATCAGTAGGACCAGCGTCGTCTCAGCTTGCTGGTATTTGGTCCATTGCTGCGACGCGTACGTACGGCGGGAAGCAGCGTGGGTTCCCTCCACCACCGCACAACGGCCGAGTTTAGTTTCAAACTTTTTCTTTAAACTTTCAACTTTTCCATCACATTAAAAATAATTTTTTCACACACGTAAACTTTCAATTTTTCTATCACATCGTTCTAGTTTCAACCAAACTTTCAATTTTAACGTGAACTAAACACACATGGGATGGGAGAGCCAAACGGGCCACGGCTCTGCGCGCGTGTGTGCAGTGTGATCGTCTGATCGATCGATCCATCGGCCGCGCGCGTACGGGATCACGCGCGATTCGCAATGGATTAATGGGTGTTGGATCGCGTGTGGTGTAGCTGCTTTTGTAGCTAGGCGAGACAAGCGCCGGCTGGCCGGCCGCCCGTCGAGATGACCGTCGTCGTCGGGCACGTACGTCGATGTCTACGTGCGTGCGTTCCGGCCGGCCGGTGAGAGCAGCTACAATAAGTCCACATCAGTAGGCTATAGTGTTTCATATAGTAAATTTTTATCTAGTTGGAAGAGAGAGAGAGAGAGAGTGAAAGGAGAGAGGCGCTGGCTACCCATGCTGCAGGCCTAGCTTTTTTCCCTGCATGTGTGTGACTTTGTACATCCTTTGTGAGCAGCCAATCAAATGGTACTACTTAAGATTTTTTTAAAAAATAAAAGTTGTACATGAGAAATAGGTAGAGATAACTATAGAGCTCATTACTTTATTTATTAGCTTTTGAAACTAGCTATAACAGGATGATGTGTTATTTTTGTAGCCAATAGCGAGCTCTACTATTAACCTTGCTCTGAGGCGGCCCCACACATCGAGCTCTCCGTTAATTTTTTTGTGCGCATACGTGTGGTTCAATTCGAACGGTCGGGATGGCTAGTTTGTTGGTTGCCTAAGCGTGTCTACACTGACATACATGAGAGTATAGATAGCTAATAGATTTGTTAAACGGCATCCAACAGAAAATTTAAAGAGATTTCTTCACCGCTATATATCTGCGCTAAGATTCATGTATGAGTCCCATCTCCTCCAGCTCTCGTAAGTTCCTCCTCTTCTTCGACGGCAGCAGCATCCCAACTCTGACAGATGAGCTACGAATTACTAGGTTTGGGATCAAAATTTGGGCAAAGAGTAGGGGAATGAAGTCCACTTGGGCTTAGAGGGATAATCGTGGGCGTGCAAACACAAGAAGACATTGTGGTGGTGCCATCGCTGCTAGAACCACGAGGTTGGAGGAAACGGAGTCAGTGGCGATATCTTTAGCTACAGGCCGGATCTACTGGAGACAGTGAAGATGATGGGGGCGGGGGACCTTGCTGAGTAGGGGAGGCGGCGACATTGACATCGATCTACTCAATCTGGAGGACGCGGCGTTGGGGAGATGGATAAGGTGAAGTTATCGTAGCAGCACTAATCTCAAACCGGTATGGGTAGTTCAAAAGTGAATAAGATGAAATGGATTTCCTCGCAAATGTTACATAAGCAGTCCCTCAATCTAGAGGGAAGTGGACTTTAAACTCTTGAGAGAACATCCTATTGTTGTTTGCATGTCATTCAAATAGTGTTATGAAACTTTTTAAAGAAAATCAAGAAAATGGTTAATATGCTATATATGTATCAATCCGCAAACATGCGGGTTAATATTAAATTTTATTAGTTGAATAAACAAATCAAACTATAGTTGGTCGACTATTTTTTTTCTTTTCAGCTTGTAGAAGTTAAATTAACCTTATATGTTTATGGAGTAATCTATCTTATTAAATATTTTCTAAAAAAAATTATAACTATTTCAATAATTAAAAAACAAGAGGATATCCCTCTCAACAGTTCAGAACCGTTTCCTAATCTAAAGATGTATGGTTGTTGAGTCGAAGCCACCAACAAACGGATAATTTATGAATACACACCCAAATGTGTCTGACCGATATCCACA